TGTCAGAAAGGGTGGCCACCCCACACCATCTCCCTGCCCACGTGGAACCTTGTCTCAATGGTGCTGGTGCACCTCCATGAAAACGGATCTCTCGATTCTGTGCTCGAGCTTGACGCCTCAAAATGCCCGAGCATGTCTTGAACGTTGTGGCTGACAGCTGTGTCTCTGTCACTGACCAAATGCCTGGCCCAAATCCCAAAAGAAGATCCTCCTTTTGTCGCAAACCACCTGGATTACTGACACCCACAGTCAGTGTGTCTCCCAAGTGAGGCCCTGGATGAAGAGCCTCACCATAACGTATGGTACCTTGTCCAGTTGGCTCGTGAAAACAGTAGGTGTCTTGGGAAATCAGACCAAAAATGTCATTCACAGGCCAGTGCCCAGGAACATGGCAGCATGTTTCCCCCGACCCATGATCTCGGTCAGCCGTGGCTGCCGAGCCGTCGATGTAGAACCGGGCAAGGGGAGTAGATCGCTGCTGCAGGGCGGCCACATGTGAAAAAAGCATCGCAAAGAAGCAGAAAAACCTGCAAATCCCATGTGTGGATCCAACTGTGGCTTTCGGCCTCAGGCTTGATCCATGGCCTGAGCCTGTATGCCATAGTCAATTTTGGCGTTGCTTCTTCTCCAGCAACGCCTCCAATCTGCTCAGTTGCTTGTTGAAGGACTCATTCATCTCAGAGGAGAGATCATCCTTGACTGTCTTCATGGTGCTCTGGAAAGTTGAACCCAACGCATGGATCTCATTCTGATGTGTGTTCAAGGTCTGTTGAACAGCACTCAATGTGGATTCTGTGGTCTTCAGACGCTCTCCAGCTTGATGGAACCATTGATTGAATTGGACATGGTGGTTCTGCAGCTCCTGCATGCCAATCTCAAGCGCCTGAAGTCTATGTTCATGTTGCCCTGCATTCTCCTGAGAGGTGGCTGCCGCCGCCTTGATGGCGTTTTGCGCTTGAGATTCAAGGCCCTGCACCACACGATGAGTGACATCCTTGCTGAGTTGATCTTGCAGTTCCTGCAGTCGTGTTTTACCCTCATTGTTGGCGACTGCAGCTGGACGGCTTGGAAATTGCCATGGATCTTTGCCATATTCCTGCCACGGATCTCCATTCGCCGTGACTGGAGGAACTTGCTTTGGTGCACTTCGCAGTTGACGTTGAGTCTTGGAAGAAGCAATCACCTGCTGTTGTGGAGGCTGTTGCTTCAGCTCCTTGATCTGAGAGATCACCACATCGTTGTCAAAACCGGTCATGACCGTTTGTGGTGGCGGTGATTGGGCCCCCACTCTCCAAGACATGTGACTGAAAGATCCTTTGCCTGGATGTAGTGGCCTGGCTGGCCATTCCCAGTCCGCCAACAATTTGGTAATGGCATGTCGCTGTGTCCCATGTGGGATAGGAAACAGCTCAAAAATCAGCTGGATGTCCAGAGCCATGAAATCAACGCCAGGTCGTAGATGTGCCCATGCTGCTTTCTCATCTGTCTTCTTGACTCTGATGCCGTACTTTTGTCTCATTCTCACCAGGCAGATGGACTTGTCACAGGTTCTGCATTGATGAATGGCTTCTTCAGCAGAAGCTCCAGGAAGCCACACCACCCTGAAACTGTCATCGTGCTCACGTGGTTGGGAACCTCGGGGCTCCACATAAACGCCTGACGGTGCAGTTGTCAAAAGTTTCATCAAAGCTCCATCTGGAATGCGCATGAAGACCGTGAACAGACTGGCCTGTTCTGGTGTTGACTTACGACCCTGTTCATCAAAGAAGCTGCGTGCCCAGAGCTCAAAGATCACATTGTCTATGCTTTCGTCCAGGCCAGGATGAAACTTAGCACATTGCGCGCCACAGCTAGCGCCTTTGCAAAGCTTCAAGGAGTCCATTGTTGCTACCAATGCTCGGATAGGTGCATCAGCAAATCGATGCCATTCCATGGCCAGCTGATCACGGAACACCTGAAGCTTGATCACCTTGGTCGTGATGACATCTGGGCTAGAATTCTTGCTAGCTGATTCTCTGGTGACCTTGGAGTCCCCAAGCTGCAAAATGTGCCCATAAATGAGAGTCTGTTCATCAGTGCCCTTGAACTTGGCCGGAATGATGATGGGTTCCATGCCAACCTTGTCAATGGTTTCAGCCTCTGGAGAATCCAAGAAGATCAATGCCAGCGCATCAGTGCTGATGAAGGCGTTGTTGTTGAGAAATTGCCGAGCCATGTCCACATTGCAAAGCGCAACTCCTCGTGCTTCAGCCTCAACTTCAGCAAAGGTAATTTGTTGCACTGGGAGATCACTGTCGTCCTTGAAGTGGTGAGGGTTCAGCTCAAATTGTGAAGGATCCAAGAGGACTGGTGCATCATGGCCAGGTCCCTTGTGTGGCTTCTTGGTCTTGTGATTCTTGATCTTGGCACCATGCTTGGTCTGAGCCCGTGCCGCCACATAGTCTTTCTGTTCCTCCACAGTGATGAGCCTGAACATGGTGCCAGGCTTGCTGGCTGCAGCCTTCAAGTCAGCCCAAGGGTTCTTGGCCTTGAGGATTTGTTGAATCTGCCTCTGGCCAATACGCTGCATCACCAGTTGTACCCGGTCTGACACTACCTCCTTGGGGACACCCTTGGACTGCAAGATATCAGCAAGTTGCCGTTGGAGGTCCTCGGGTCCACCAGCATAAATCTGGCATGGCATAGTCTGTGCCTTCAGGAGCCAATCATGCAGGAGAGCAATGTCCGCCTCAAAGTCCAAATCCAAGAGGCGAAGACAATGTGCAAAGTGCAACAAAGCAATTGTGCCACAGGTATGGCCATGTCGTTGAGGATGACTGTGTCCGAGCTGCAGCCCAAGGCATGGGTCTCCCAGCGCCTGTGAGATCTGGTGGACAACTTGGGTAATGCATGGGAGGGCTTGATGCATGTAAAGTCCATCATGCAAAATCCAATCAAGCCCTTGCTCTTGTTGGTTCCAAAGTCCATGAACCAAGAGCCAATGATCTTGCCATTCGCAGATGAAGAGGATGTCCCCAGTTTCATGTTGCCGTCGTGCTCTCCAGGAAGCTTGAACTGCCGGAGGTGGTGTCTGCTGCAACAACTGGTTGACACGAAACGGGTAGAACACAAATGGTGTGGGCGCCAATTTTTGCATAGAAGCCACCTGGATCAATTTTTGCATACCTGTCCAAATCAATCGATCACCCAATTGACGTGAGATGTCACCTGGTCCTCCTCCAAGAAGTTGGATGTCACCAGGAAACGTTCTCACCTGCTTGCTGGTACAGATCCTGATGTGATAAAGCACTCCAGGTTGCAGCTGAGTGTTGGGATGCAATCTTTGGCCTTGATGAGTGACGATCGCATATTGCCCCCATCCTGCCAGCTTCCGTTCGGCCTGGATCAGGTCCTGCACTGTGGTGGGGCAATTGATGCGGATCTCGTAGATGGTGTTCTCACCTTCGATCTGCAGAGAGACCAGTCTGGGCTCATAGTGCTGGGGTGTGATCCATCTATGGAAAGCGTGAGAGGCCAGCTCTTGCTGCAAGACTGTGAGAATCTGCTGAGGATCAATGCCAGTCCATCCCCAAAAATGCATCTGAAGTCCCGCCAGCACATGGGCTTGAACCCAGACCACTTGAAGTGGAGCTGCAATTTGTCCCAGCAAGCTGAGTGCCGATCTTGGTGGCATTGGAAAGTGGAATGTCGGTGGCACTGTGCATAGCATGGCACCTTCTTCAGGATGAAGATGACGGTGACGGCCTGTTCGTGAGGAGATCAGGCCAAAACCTCGTGCTCCTCCTGAACGAAGTCGGGCGACACTGAAAGCTGCACGACATCCGCAAGGGCAAGGTCGATTGACATGTCCCCATGAGTGCAGGACTGTTGGAGCTTTGTCATGATCAAGGAGAACTCTTTGATCTGCGCCGTAGCATGGATCCAGATAAATGGCCAATTCACTTGGATCCCATTCCAGTTGGTGCTCAATGAGTTCATCCCAGATTGCATCCAGCGGCATGATGTCCCCTAACTTTCGATAGCATTGAGTTGTTGGCCACCGAGGGATTTCAACCTTGGGCACTGTTTTTCTCATCATTCTACACCAGAAACGGTTGCGTCGGACTGGCCACTGGTCCTGGAGGTCAAAAATGAGTTTGAAAATGTGCATATCCGTCAGCTGGGCAAAATCATCAATGCTTTGCTGTGCCAAGGGGAAATGAATCACGTTGGCAACACATTCCAGCAGGATGTCATCCACCTGGAGAAGCCAGGATGCTCTCAGGATGGCATACAGGCTATGGCTACGATGGTCGTTCATGCCCTGTTGATCTCCCTGCAAAGAGAAGCCTTGACATGGAAACCCTCCTGTTGCCTGCAGGTATCCTGCACCTATCAGTGGATGAATTTTCTTCCGTGTGTCAACATCGCCAATGTCACCTTCAATGACTGGGCTGGCAAAGTTGGCCCGTAATGCTTCACATGCCAATGCTGATTTCTCAACAAAAATGGCCGTACGCATTCCCAAGAACTGAGAACCGATTGAAAATCCACCCATTCCAGAGCAAAAATCCAAAACAGTAACATGTGTGAAAAGATCCTTCTCATGATGGACATGAATTTCTGTCACTCCGTCCACCACTTGACATGCGGAGTCCTCCTGTGCTCTCTCTAAGTCATAGAATGAGTAAAGCCCTGGTGCATGCGCAGCAGCGCCAGTGACTACAAAAGATTGTTGGGGCGAGAGGCCAGTGCAAAAGCAAGTGCCATCCTTGAACTCATTGATGTAGGCCACCAGCGAAATGCGCGAGCCAGGCGGCAAAGGAGAAACCCAAAGGTCCATGGTTGAGAAAATGGGGTCCCAGGTATCAGTTGAGAACGGTTCTACTACTGGTAGAACTATGGGCCATCTATACCATGGCTATGTTAGTCATAACCAGAGGGTATGTGTAGCCTTTTCTGCAACTTCTTCCACAGCCCCATGAACGAAGCAAAACCCCTCGTTTGACTGCCAAAGGCGCTAATTAACCTCGAATCGAAGGACTGGTTGATCACGGTCCTTAATATCTCACATCATGCTGATCCCAACATATCCCAACTGTCTCTTTCAAACGTTGTGGATTCTTTGGGTTTTTCATGGTTTTGGAAGATGAACTACCCTCCAGTAAATTAACATAGACCCTTCCAGATAGATCAGATAGGGGTTGGAAGATTGGTTTCCTCTAACAATTGGTGATCCATCTGATCCAAGGCGCAGGGCGCCACAGCTGTCCACCACTTGGCTATCCTTCACCACTTCGGTGCCATCCGAAGGAACCTCAACGCCCCCAAAAAAAATGTCGAAAGATGTGGGACACCTGGAGGTGCCAGGAATTTCAAGCATCCAACTATATATCATCCTGGAAACACTGTGCAGCATCATTTCTTGGGGGTGCGGAAAAATGATCTACAGTCATGGTGGGTAAAATCCACATCTATGCAAACGTTTACAGGAAAAATCCACATCTATGTTGGTTTGCAGGGTAAAACCCACAGTTTTTTAAAAAAATACAAAACAAAACATCAGCCGCGTCACCATCAGCACTGCTCCAGCATCGCAGCCCAACTTGGCAGCCACACGCGCCCTCCTCGAAGGATTCAAAGGGGCTAAGCTGCAGATGTCAATCTTACCCTGCAGAAATTGGATGTTCAAGTGGTTACTAACAATGATATATATATATATATATATGGATGGATGGATGCATGCATGCATGCATACATGGATGGATGGATGTATGTATGCATACATGCATGCATGTATGTATGTATGTGTATGTGTGTATGTGTGTGTGTGTACGTGTGTACGTATGTGTATGTGTATTTTATGTGTATGTCTGTGTATGTGTGTGTGTTTGTATGTGCATGTATGTGTATGTATGTGTATGTATGTGTATGTATGCGTATGTATGTGTATGTATGTGTATGTATGTGTATGTATGTGTATGTATGTGTATGTGTATTTTTTATGTGTGTGTGTGTGTGTATGTGTACGTATGTGTATGTATGTGTATGTAGCTGTATGTATGTGTGTGTGTGTATGTGTATGTAGCTGTATGTATGTGTGTGTATGTATGTGTATGTATGTGTGTATGTATGAAATGTAATGTAATGTAATGTAATGCAATGTAATGTAATGTATGTGCGTGTGTGTTAAATAGAATTGTTTAATATATATATATATTCATACATATCGTGATATGTTGTAGTATATCTTGCCAAGCCCGTGTTTGGCTTAAGACTGGTGGGGGGGGGGGTCCGGAGGGGGAAACGGAGGGAAGGGGTGGTGCACGGCAAGGTGCTAAAATTTCAAAAATAGGTGCTCAAATTTAAGGAAATAGGTGTTTTTTTGAAGAAACCGGGTCGGGATCCAGTCGGGACCCAGTCGGGACCCAGTCGGGACCCAATCGGGCACCAATTTTTGCATTTTTGGGCACCGCTTTTGGCCAGTCGGGATCCAGTCGGGATCCAGTCGGGATCCAGTCGGGCACCAATTTTCGAATTTTTGGCACCACGTTTGGACCTGTCGGGAAGCAGCCAAAATCACCGAAAAACATGCAAAAACACTGCAAAAATGCTATTTTTTATGAATTTGGCTGCCTCCCGACTGGATCCCGACTGGATCCCGACTGGATCCCGACTGGCCAAAAGCGGTGCCCAAAAATGCAAAAATTGGTGCCCGACTGGGTCCCGACGGGATCCTGACTGGATCCATAGATTGGCAAGAACCCACTCCCGCTCCTATTTTTTCCTTCCCAGACCCACCCTTGCCCCTATTTTCCTTTTCCGCGCACCAGCCGTGCACCAATACCCCCCCCCCTCCTGCACCAAAACGGTAAAAGCAGTCTTAAGCCAAACGGGGGTTCTACAAAGTATATCCACATTTTTTTCGGCAAAAGATTGACGTGATATGAAGTTGTGCAGAAACGTCTATCATGTTAGAATATTGATATGGTCGACAGAATATCATGATGCCATCGTTTCTACAGGCTATTTAATAACATAGCATAATGCATCCTCATGTGTAGAAAATCTTAACGACGATTCATCAGAAAATATCACCATGTATCATTTTTCGCAAACGATTGACATCATATACCGTATAAAGTTAATTATTCATGTACTCCAGAAGTCCCAATCTCAAGTGAAACTAAGACATGGCATGGCGTGAAACTTGGAGTTCCACAACTCATCAAGGAAAAAAACATCCTTCAGAGGGGATAATAAGAAACCTCTATGTAGACTCATGTACTAAACTACACTGTTTCATCCGCTACCGAACAGTGTACTCAAAACTGGTTGGTGGTTTCAACCCATTTGGGGTCGAAAAGCGAAAAGCTTACCCTCTGGTTATTTAACATACCCTCTGGATCCCTCTGGTAAACTGGTAAACTAACATAGCTATGGCAAATGGCCCATTTATAGATGGTTTACCTATTAAAAATGGTGATTTTCCATAGCCATGTTAGTTTACCAGAGGGTAACCATGCCGACGACCAGCTAGTGGATCCCTTCAAGACGATGGGACGATGGGATCCACTGTCTCTGCCGAGCTTCACATCTTTCATGCTCTGCGCATCTGACAATTCCACCTCTGCAAATCCCGATGGCCATCACGGCTCCCTTTTTTTAAAAGCAACCTACATCAACCCAGAAAAAATATCGAAATGTTGATGTTCAATCCTCCGGTTCATGATTAACTCCCTCTTTTAGTGGTTAGATCATCGACATTTTGATGGCCATATAGATCTCCATCATTTGATCGTTGAATACCCTCTCAACCATTTCACATCATTCATGTAACCTCCGGATTAAAAACACTAAATCAAGAATAGTTAAAACTCACTATTCAACCGAACATGCTACCCCCCTATGATAAACTGGGGGGCTTCACAATCAACATCGTGAACCTTCAGCATCCTTCACCAACCGTTTTCGTCGCCGATGCGGCACCTGGATTTCTTCCCCACTCAACGCCAGCAGTTGCAGCACCATGGCACTGGGTTTCAGCGCCGCCGTGGCGTGACGTAGCGTCTTGAGCCATGCAGAGGTCGACCGGTGACGTGCAAGAAACATCAAGGGAAACCATGGGAGTGATGAAAACCATAATGTAGTATAATGTAATAATAACAATGATACATAATAATGAATAGGATTAATATGTGCCAAAGAACACAATCTTGACCATAGAAAGAATAGTACAATGACATATCAAATAGTTTATGATGAGATGCTATATTTGTATATGTGTATGCATATCATCATATACAAGTAATAATGATGATATGCAGTATCCTTATCGTGATCGTTCAGAAGCCATAACCTTAAAGGTTGAGATGCAGCGATTGAGCTAACTGGCACCTGCCGCTCTCAAGGTCATAGAGAGGTTTCGCAAGGACACCTTGCAGCGCCCGTCATAAAGAAACCAATAACGAATGGAAATTAATGTGGGTAAAACAATTTCATAAACCATCCCCCCTTTTTTCACCATAAATAGGTGGTATATTAAACCATTCCCAAATGGGTGGTTTATGGCATTGTTTTACCATGTTTTACCCTCATTATGCAGAAAATTCACCGGAGACTCTTGTCTTGTCAAAGCCAAAAGGGGTAAACCACGGTGAAATTTTGTGATCCTTGTCCCCTGAGACTAGGAATGAAGGGTGTATAAGGTGTATGACTTTGATCCTGTCTGTCCGGACAAGAACGGGAGGATGCTGAAACATCAACGCACTGCTCGGTCAAAGTTGTCGCTTCTTGAAGTTGGGTCGACTCGGAAAAGCTGAGTATGAGAGAAGTAGAACCACACAGAAATCGAAGCCCAATCCAGCCAGAGTAGGATGATTGTTTTTTTTGGGAGGTACTACGCCAATCATCCGTAAAGGTGTGCCCTTGTCTCAGAGATCGAAAGCCCCGGAGTTGAATCACTTGGGATCAACCAGGATCAACCAGGACATGTTATACCCTCTGGTAATCTAACATAGCTATTGCAATTGGCCATAGAAATAGTATGAAATAGATTGAAATAGTTGATTTACCATGATTTCCCTGCTAAAAAGCGATAAAAAGTGTGGATGTTCCAGTTCGCAAACTGTTCGTTTACCAGAAGGCAACCACTCTCTGCATCGCTTCGAAGCCACTGGGTTGGGCGTTTCGCTCATCTCCAAGGCTTGTTCAAAGCAGCGCTGTGCCTCGAAAGGCTGAGCTCGCCGGCAAATTTCAGGATCATTCAGGATCATGGTAAAGTGGAATATATTGCCATAAAACAAGTTTTTGTAATATGGATATTCCATAAATTTTTATCTTCACTATAATGGTAGTATATTACCATAATAGAATATATTACCATAAATTGGAATATAAACCATCCATGCCTATGCCCTATGCATCATGGTAAGCCATGGTAAACCATGGTGTTTACCCATTTTTCGGCTGTAGGCGAAGCCCTCCCCACCATCGCCACCACCGGGTGAAGATAGCAGCCCCAGAGTATGACATGCAGAATCATCTGGTTGGTGCTATAACCTACCCCTCTGAAAAATGATGGAGTGAGTAACAGTTGGGATGATGACATTCCCAACATATGGAAAAAATAAAAAATGTTCCAAACGACCAACCAGTCATGCATAATTACATAGCATTTGGATGTGCTGATGGCAAAAAAATGCGAAAATCATCCCCATAGATTACCCCAACGGTGTCCCATGGGGAAAATGCCATCATCAAACTCAGCATCCACAGCCCAGGCCTGGGAGATGTCTTGCATGTTCCAATAGACCTGTCGCCCGTAGGAAACCCCAACAGTAGCATTGGGCCATCTGCGGCCACGAACACGATTTTAAAATGATCCAATCCAAAATGTTTCACCCACATTGTGGGACCGGAGTGGCCTCGCCCAAGCCATTCCAAGCATCCAGAAGTTGAGGGTCCAACCTGGGAATCAAGTCGTCCAAGGTCATGGCAGGGTCGTCATGATAAGTCTATCTTAATGGGGAGTAAAAAATAATGAAAGTTCAAGCCACATCAAGCCACCAATGGTGGGTTTCCCAATTTCTCACCCCGCTCTGAAAGGTTTCCACCAACTTCAGGCCAGGCACTTCAGGGCTTTTGACAAGTTCTCCTGGACCAAAACCCAAGGGGCTCTGGGATATACTCCCAATCGGGATCTTTGAGAAGTTTTGAGTCGAGTAGTAAGAAGGGAACTGGACTGGACATTCTCAGACTGTCAATCTGCAAAAGCTTGGCGGGCGCGTGGTTTGGTAGCTTCCTTTGGCTTTGTTGAGACACTACGATTGGGCCGATGAACTGCCGGAAGTCCAAAAGAAACTCTGGACCTCCGCGAGCTTCTCTTGTCCCGGCCTGGGTTGCGAGAAAATCAGTCCACCTTTTTTTGATGCCCAAACGACGCAAATGACACAAGGACAACGGTGACAACGCCATGTTTCCTGGACTAGAATCATCTACTGGTAGCACGTGCAGATTCAAATTTAAAGATATACATATATTGTCGTACAATTTCTACATATTTACCGTGAGAGTCAGCTCATTTTCGCTTCAACTTGCCTACCTCACAGTAGTGATGTCCACCATTCACCCAACATCGGAGTCGCTGGTTTGTTCTGGGGGCACAGGGCGCCCAGACACAAAAGAAGCAGCACGTCCTTTGAGGCAAAACCTGGGCGTTCAGCCGTGCAACTGCAGGTTCGTTCAAGCTGACAATGACATGAATAACAATAATTATATATATATAACATGTGTATATATATATATACATAACATATATGTATATATATATAACATATATAGAGAGAGAGAGAGAATCGTCCTGAAGTAGATATAACATGATTTGTTCAAACCTATTCCCATCCTGGTGGTTGTTTGACATTTCCATCTCCAGGATGACGATCCAAGACAGGCCGCCAGGCTGGAACCAAAGGGAGAAGATGCGGGAAGACATGGCCGGAACCAATTTTCTGGTTGGTGGTTTTAACATGTTTTAACCATCTTCAATGGGAAGGATTATCCCCAATATATGAAATGAAAAATTAAATTCATGTCTGAAACCACCACTGTTTCCATCGGCCGGGCCTGATCGGGTTCAGGATCGAGGCCCTTTTGTCACATCTAAGCGCTGTCAGCGCTTTGTACAGCATCGTTTGATGCATCTCTAGCAAGCCGCATACCCGGGATAGCGTTTGCTATGGGCAGTGCTTGCACCTGCTTCGTTCCTCTAGACACTGGACCTTTGCAGTGTTCAGCCAACCAGGTTTCTGTGATGCGTAACGTCGCCGCACCCCAGCAGATCGAAGCAGCAGCTATGTGGGACTGCAGAATTTCACTTTCACATCTGCAAGTTTCCAGTCCAACCTGTTGCTTACTCTCACGCCAGAACTGTTTGAGGCATCTGCGAAACCACTTCAGCCGTTTCAGGAAGGGATATTTTGCCGCATCCAAATACGGCCGTAAGAACCCGTCCAACCAAGCAGTTTTGTGCTGTAAAGGCCCTGCACAACCCCATGTCAGCTGATAGTCCAAGTACAAACCTGGGTTCCTCCAGCTTCCGTACGGGTCTTCCACCAGGTGGCCACGCGGGTCGCCATACCATGGCCGTACTCATTGGCAAACTGCTTGGGGAGGTCTCCCTGCCATGCTGAAACATCAAAAAGCTTGTCGAAAACTCTCGTGTGTTTCGGCTGTTGTATCTCAACTGTGTCCAACGTCAAAGCTTGATCATCCTTGACGCTCATCAGTGCCACCTGAAGGTGGAGGTTCCACGCTTGTGCATGAACTTCCTGGGCTGCTGTAACCTCACGAACATGCTTCTGCCAAAGCGTCCAGAAACTTTCACCTCTGTCCAAATTAGCTGTCTTCGCCGCATGGTCTGCAGCGGTGTTATGCCAGAAAAGCCACGCTTCATAGCGGCTGGTTGCTGAAGCCACCAACCTGTGTGCCGCCACCTTAGTCAGAATGATCTGCTCAAGGCCCAAACGCTCCACTGATTGTAGCGCCCAGCTCCAGAGATCGGCATTCGCCGCCGCAGGCCTGGGCTTCTTCCTGCAGCTGCCATGCTTTCAATCATAGCGCCCCTTCTTGGCCAAAATGGCCTCCAGCCTGCTCATCTGGTCATCGAACATACCCTTCATTTGGGTGCGTTGAACTTCCATTTGTGACATCATCTGTGTTTGCAAGGTTTGAACCTGTGCCGTGTGCTGATGGTGATGTTCATTCACCAGGCCCTCCAGTGATTGCTGACGTGTTGCCAGATGCTGGAGTTGGAGTTCAAGTTGGTGGACACGATTGTCCTCCTCATCTGTTTCCATCTTCTCACATGGCAGTTTGGCCAAAATGGCCTTTTCCAGTCTCTCTTCCATCTCTTGGATTTGTGTGGTGACATTCGGCGCTGGCTGAACGGGAACATTTCGCAAAGACCCTTGCCATGGATCACGAGTCAACCAGGGGTCAACTTCAGCATTGGTGCTACACAGCTCCACAGTGGCTTGTGGTCCTATGACATGGCTCGACTGCGTCATGCTAGCAGACTGGGACTCACACCTGGAAACCACAACAGGCCCATGACCTAAGTTCCAAACTGCAGTGGGAGGTTCTGTCACTGATTGCACCAGCCACATGATGCCTCCGTCCACTGTCTTGGCAGGCTGCAATGGACGGGCTTGCCACTGCATGTCACCAAAAACTTTGGCCAGCATCTTCCTGTCACTTCCGAAAGGCCAAGGCCCACAGTGCCAATTCAGGCGTTCTCCGGGTGCAAGAAACTGGCTATCCGGTTTCAGCTTGCTGAACACGGACTGGTAGTGCTTTGCCTGTACACGGATGCCATACCTACGTCCAGCACGGGCCAGGCCTATGCTGAGGGGTTCACATTGCATGCTATGCTGTGCTTCTGCCAAAGTGGCCTGAGGCATCCACACGACTTGATACTCGTCTGATGGATTGGACGAGTCAGGCAAACGGGGCTCTATGTACAGGCCAGATGTGCCACTGCACTGCAACACTGCTGCCTCTTGTTGTTTCAGGTACCTGATCTGTACACTGAAGTGGCTGGCTTGGTGAGCTCGGCCTGGTCGTCCTCCATCTGTGAAGAACTGGCGCTTGAACACATCTAACACCACATCCTGAGCATGATCCATGGGGTCTCGATGCCACTTTGGGCACTGGCATCCATCTGTTCGGCACGACTGCAACGGAGGAATGTGTTGCAAAACTTCTTTCACTGGGTGTGAGGCAAAACTTTTTCAGTCCTGTGGCCACTGGTCCTGGTAGACAGTGATCCTGGCACAAGTAACAGGGACATCAGGGACTGAAACATTGTTCGGCCGTTGGAATGGACCTACTACCTGACTGCCTAACTGGACCAAGAGACCATGCAACAAGACCGGCTGTTGGTTGATTGCACAGTTGGCTGCAAAACGAATGGAACTCCACTGCAGTTCGGTCTGCAACTCCGAGGGACCATTGACAATCAACAGAGCTAATCCCTTGTTGGTCAAGACTTTGTTGGCTTGTAGAAACGGCTGCGCTTCTGCATGTGTGACCAAGGCAACTCCTGAGGCTAAAGGTCCGACCTGTGAGACCGGGATCTGTTGCATCATGGCATCTGGGGCAGTGCAAAACGTATCTGGTGCCAGTTGCAAACGACCTGGGTCAAGGTCAAGTGGCTTCGCAGGAGTTTGGCGTGTCTTTGGCTGTCTGCTTTCTTTTGCCATCGGCGTCTTGGACTTCTTCTCTTGCACCACTTTGGCCAGCTCATCGGGCAAAACCAGCTGCTGGATCACTGGTGTGTGTTGATTGGCGATCTGCTTCAAGCTTTTCCAAGGTGAAACTCCCTCGAGAGCCTTCTGAACTGAATCCTTCCCTAGACTCTGCATGACGAGCTTGGCTCTTTGCTTAGAGGCGGATTGTGGGACTCAATGAAACTGCAGCAACGTGGCCAGGAGTGTAGGCAACTCCTCTTTACCAGCTCCCCAACACCATGGCCGTTTGACCATGGTAGCATCAGCATGGGACACACGAAATTGCTCACGCAGACGATGGCTCATGTCAAGGAGTTCAGATTCATTCTGCGGCATTTAGGCATCATTGAGCTTGGCAATCAGGAAAGAGACTGCTGCTGCACCACACAAGTTGACACCAAAGGCACGACGCAGACAGGACACCGTGAAGGACGGTACAGCAAGCACTTGACACCAAAGTCCATGAAGTCCATTCAGGAAATTGATATCCATGTCATCATGCTCATGTGTGTGCACCTCTAATCTGTCAGCTGTCACAATCCAGAGGACAGGAGTCCAATGTCCCTGGTGTAAAACGGCTGAAACAATCCTGTCGGACGGAAATTCCACAGAGCTGAGCCAAACTTCGATCAGGTCAACACTGCCAGCGGAAATCCAACTGGTGGCCAACAAGGGATCCAAGACCACTGCATATTTGTTTGCATGCATGACGGATGCTTGCAAGTGCCACAACAATTCATCATCAGCCCAAACATGTTCTTGTCTTGACAAAAGTTCGACACGACACCTCCAAGAGATCTTGAGCGCTCTAAGGTTCATGCAGATGGCTGCATCATTGGCCATGGACGGGATCATTTCCAGCAAACTTGCAGGCGTCAAGTGAAACAGAGCAAGAACAGAATCGTCAGCTGTCAAGTTCTGTTCGATGGCATGTGGGGCAATGGCAGTTGCTCTGGCATCATCCGGGTGACTTTCACTTGGCATCATGTCGGCATCGGAATCCACTTGTGTGTCAACTACTCCAGCTGGTGCAGAGGCATGCAATGGCTGTACATCGGTTGGGCATGGCAGCAGGTCTTCCGGTTGGAATGGCACTTCAGGCATTGGGTGGTCAATGGCTGGGGCTTGGAACCCAGGTCTCATCATGACTACTGCTTGGTGATCTTTCAATCGTGCCTCATGAGATAACGCTTGACCTTCCCAATCACAAACCTGAACATCAAAAATCGGAAGATGAAGCAAATCACATTCAGCTTCGATCAGCTGTCTGACTGTGCTCTGCGGTTGGTGCACCAAAGTCCAGGAGGCACCTGCATGATCGGAGATGTCCAACCGACACCTGTTGTCAACTTCTGTTGCAGCTTGACTTGAGGATGAACCTATCACCCTGGGAATGGTCGGGAAAAACTCTTTGCTCTGTTGCATGACCAGTTGTTTCAAAGTTCCCAAAGAGTGCTTCGGGTCAAGTGGCACATCACTCGTGAAAAGCTTCTGTACATGCGCTACCAATGCAGCTGCTACCCATGTGGCATGAAATGGACTGGCAAGTTGCCCAATGGCACACAAGTTGAGCCTAGCATCAGTACTCCATGCTTGCATTGGTGGGACCCCATTGTGAATGGCCACTTCAACTGCATGCAGGTGTCTGTACTTCACTTGGTTGCCAAGGCCCGGAATCTGTACAAGCTGAGCAAAAAGACCTCGTGATTGCAACGTGTAGTCTGCGAAACCCGTGGCCTACACTCACAAGCACCTCGGGAGTTTTTGGTCTGCTTGGACTAGGTACTTCCTGAGTGGTTCACCCCCAAGTTGAAACCTGTCAATCTCTTGTGCAGAAAGGGCCAACTGCGCTTCTTCAACATCACTCCATCTGCGTGTGTATGGCATGAGATCTCTAACCACCAAAGTTGAACCCTTGGGGTATGGTGGCACAATGATTCTGCCCAACCTGGGGTGTGTTGCAACAACCCACCATCGGTATCTCATGGCTGACCACACCTCCTCCAACTTCATCGTGCAATCCACCACCTTGAAACCAAGTTATCACATACTGGTTGTCACGTGCTGGAACAACACATTCCATGATCAGTGCGGGTGCCTGCAAGCAGTGTGCTATCTGCAAGGTGGCCGGAAGAGTGGCTGCTCTCGTGTCAAACCCTCCTTCTTGTTTGCCTGCCCTACTATATGGTTGACATGCAATCCCTGCCATTACGGTTGCAGGTTCTGGGCAAACTTCATGAATCCTAGCGGCTGTGGTGACATCGGTGATGTCTGCAGTCAAGACTGGCACGGACGGATGCAGACTACGGTGCAAATCAGCAAGCTTCGGCTGAAGCTCCACAGCACACTTCTGGACAAAACCCGCCTGAGTGAAACCCAAGGCTGAAAACCCCCCTCCAAACATGAAGAAATATCATGCCTGCAAATACCAGAGCACTTCAAGCTCACCATTCATATCATCCGTGCAAGCCTGTGCAGTATTGTGAGCACTGCAGCTTCACTCATGATGTGAAGTTGCGGCCGTGGTTGAGCATCAGTTTTGACAGTATGTTGTTCTCAGACTCCGTTGCACATGTCTACAAAAAGCATTCTTACACTCAATTGCTGCACGCTCATCCAAATAGGTTTAGTAATGTTCAATAGATAAGCGCTATCTGATCGCTGGCCCATGCGTCTGGGCGGTCAGCCAATGAAACCACCAACCAGATTTGGAAGGAACCTATTGAAGCGACCAACTGAACCATTTCTTTCCCCGAAGGTCCCAAATGACCATGGGAGCAGATTGGTAATTGCATGTGATCCCCCACACAATCCGGGTCATGGCAAAATGTCCCAGGCATGTATCCCATTCCCCATGATTTCGCTCACTCAACTGGCCCAGCATGCTACGCAGGATTTCTGCAGCATGAACTCGGAAGCTCTTGTTGGCTCTACTCGGGGGCCTGCGCCCGTTGCATCTTCGGCCAAGGCAACTCAACATATACCGAACTATGTCTCACTGCTCCAGCTCTCTTTAGCAGCCTACACTTCGAGCAACCTATCATGCCAAAGTTTCTCCAGTATATAAGGCACTGCCCCACGAAAGCCGGGGGCTGATTGACACTTCCAGTCACCTCTCATGAAGGATTCCGCATGTGTAGGTAGGACAATGCAGGACACTTCCAGCATAATATATAATTTATAGCTAACACCCAAATAGAAAGGAAAGTAGACAGCGAGAAAACCTGTAGATATGAAGTAAATCTCATCAGTTTTTCAGTCTTTTCCGGGGTCGCGGGCACCTGCACTTGCCACCGATCATCCCAGCGGTCGGTATTTAGTTTGCTACATGGTATCCCCTAAATAAATAGAAACATACTTTCAGGATGGTAGTTCGATCATGGCTTTCCACATCATTTCCAAGGTTCTGGCTTTTCTAATTGTTCTATCTGTTTGAGGGGGTGCTGTATTTTGGTAGGGCTTTATGTTTCTAACTTTTTGGTGGTTCCTGCCAGAATGATAGCTCCCCCGACCCCAAGTACAAAACAAAGCAACACATCTTATCATGATCAGGAAAAAATCAAGAATGGCCGCATAAATATCTGTCTTTGTCAGATTCTTCAGGTATTTTCGGGAGGTATACAAGGGTGTATATAAAATTGTATAAGGGTTACGGATGGTTGTGGCTTGACCACGTTGATCCCAACCATTGGACCATGGTTACCCCCAGATCACTGGAAGGATCATCGCTCGTTCGGAGCCCATCCGCTCGCGATCCCTACCCCTTAGACCAGGGGGGGGCAGAAAATTGTAATATTACTTTTTTCGAGGGTAGGGGGGTGAAAAATGTAATATTACAATAATCGATTTTGACGTGAAAAATGTAATATTACAATTGTTTGGTACCATGGGGAAAAAAGTCAGTTATGAAAGTTCAGGCTGACAAACATATGCATTTTGCAGGCACATCCAGTGCAGAGGCTTTTCAACTTTACATTTATATTGCCTGAAAACCTGAAAGCACAATCATACAGCGGTATAAAGTGCCATAGGCTATGACTCATAGCCTTAAGAATATACCATATGTTACCATGAAACATCAAAAGATATCTACAACATATCTAAATCATATCGAAAACATATCTAAAACACATTCAACATACAATTTTACATTTATTTTGCCTAAAAACCTGAAAGCATAATCATAATTAATTATATAGCGGTAAAAAGCGTCATAACATATCAAAAGATACCATATGATACCATGAAATACCAAAAACTATCTAAACCATATCTTAAACATATCCACGAAATCTCTAAAACATACCCTCTGGTAAACTAACATAGCTATGGAAAATCACTATTTTTAATGGGTAAATCCACTATAAATGGTGATTTTCAATAGCTATGTTAGTTTACCAGAGGGTATCTAAATCATATCTAAATCATATTCAAAATACATTCAAAATACACCGCCTGCTGAAAGAAAACTATTGTTTCCACCATTTACACAACACATACCCACCATTAGGTGCCATGGGGGAAAAGAGAATGTAAATTATGAAAGTTGAGGCTGACAAACATATGCATTTTGCAAGGACATCCAGCGCAGAGGCTTTTCAACTTTACATTTATATTGCCTGAAACCTGAAAACACTATCATATAGCGATATAAAGTGTCATAACATATCAAAATGTACCATATGATACCGTGAAATACCATAAATTATCTAAACTATATCTTAAACATATCCACAAAATATCTAAAACATACCTAAATCATATCTAAATCATATTCAAAATACATTCAAAATACACAGCCTGCTGAAAGAAAACTATTATTTCCACCATTTACACAACATATACCCACCATTAGACGCCATGGGGGAAATAAAATGTAGGTTCTGAAAGTTCATGCTGACAAACATATGCATTTTGCAGGCACGTCCAGCGCAGAAGCTTTTCAACTTTACATTTATATTGCCTGAAACCTGAAAACACTATCATTTAGCGATATAAAGTGTCATAACATATCAAAAGATACCATATGATACCATGAAATACCAAAAACTATCTAAACCATATCTTAAACATATCCACGAAATCTCTAAAACATATCTAAATCATATCTAAATCATATTCAAAATACATTCAAAATACACAGCCTGCTGAAAAAAAAACTATTATTTCCACCATTTACACACCATATACCCACCATTAGGCTCCATGGGGGGAAAGAAAATGTAAGTTATGAAAGTTCAGGCTGGCAAACATATGCATTTTGCAGGGACATCCAGCGCAGAAGCTTTTCAACTTTACATTTATATTGCCTGAAAACACTATCATATAGCGATATAAAGTGTCATAACATATCAAAATGCACCATATGATACCGTGAAATACCATAAACTATCTAAACCATATCTTAAACATATCCACAAAATATCTAAACAAGACCTAAATCATATCTAAATCAAATCTAAACCATACCTAAACTATATTCAAAATACATTCAAAATACACCGCCTGCTGACAGAAAACTATTATTTCCACATTTACACAAAACACACGATAAGGTCAAAACACATCTAAAACACATTGAAAATACATTCAAAATACACAACATACCCAAAAAAAACTAAACCATATCTAAAACATATCCACAAAATATCTAAGGCAGATCTAAAACATACCGAAATAGATTCAAAATACACATAAGTACACATAGAAAACATATTTATATATATATATATTCTGATATAATCTGATATATATATATATATTGTTTTTTTGGATCACATCTGAGGATACCAAGGACTGTCATGGATGATCTATGGAACCTTCTGCCCCAGAAGAAAAATGTAAGTAGCTGCAGGGGAAGTTTCCAAGTCTGCAAAAACACATGAAGACTGTGACCTTAAGGTATGCCTTTACCAAATCTAGCAAGCAAATGCAAAATTTGGGCGGGGGGTGTGGCTAAAATGTAAGTTACATTAAGTTACGATGTCCCACGTCGATTGTTACATTTTGAACCCCCCCCTCCCCCTAGTTTTTTGGGGCCAAAAAAAATGTAACTTACAATTCGCTACCCCCCCCCAGGCCCCCCCCCCATCGTTTATTGTAAGTTACAATTTCCCTGCCCCCCTAGCAAAAACCAAGGTTAAGGGGGTGGGGATCGCTCGCGCAGCGAAGCTTGCGGATGTTGCATGCCGCCAATCTTCGAGGCAGGAACCTGTTGGGATGCGGATGCACTGGCATTCCACTGAGATCTGCTTATTCCACTTGGTCATTGTCACGTACGCTGATATCAACCAAGTGGATGAATCATGTGATGATGTCACTAAGCTGCCAAACCAGGCTATTTTGGGATGCCCCCACGAACCATCACTCCAGCGACTTCACAGTGAGGTCACTATGATGTATCCGCACTCATGCTTTATCAGGTTGCTTCGTTTTCACCATCCCCGGGACAATCCCCAGCACCCAGCAACCGGAATCCGTTTGGGGATGGTCCCCCCAATCTTCCCACCTTGGCCGCTCCGACTGGGCTCGCATCTTCGGTTTGTACTGCTTCGCTGCCGTCCACGCTGCTGGGAAGGAACAAACTGCACGTGAGCTGCATCAGCGCTAGAGCCGCCTCCAGGAGCTGGGCTGAGGGGCTATATAACGCTTGCGACCAGGAGGAGGTCCTATGGAAAAAACAAACCATTTGAATCCATTGGAGCTGCTCAGCCCTGTTTCACCACTATGTTCCACTTCTACATCATGTACGTAAATATCATATATGTACATTACAAAATGATAATTACCAGGAAATGCTGGCATTTTGTGCCTCTTTGCGGAGGGTTGCACCATGGATACCTAGCTTCCCAGCTCAGCCAAGCTAGAAGAAACATGAAGGACGGGCTAGGTGAAATAGACAAACATGAGCAAAAACCACTCAAAATGACATTTGTCTGCTTCAGAGAGGGGCGGGAAGAACAACACTTGAACGTTGAATGATTTTTTTTGCTTTCAAGTCATTCCAGGCGTCAAACGTGGCTGCTTCAAATGCATGCTCAGGTACCATTGCTCTTTGTGGTTTAGTGCCTTTTACACTGTCCTGTTGAATTAAACAACTTAGGTCAGCTCGGTGAAGTCCCAAGTTTTGGATCTCACTTTCTCGTCAGTAGCATCCCCCATCCCTGCTTTTGTTCAGTCACTGCGCCATCCAAAAGTATCCAAACTATTCCAACTTCACGAGCAAAATCAATGCACCACTAAGTCGGAAACCAAAAAAAACACTACAAAAGTCAGTTAACAGTTAACAACACCATTCAGCACTAAGTCCATCCGAAACATGTCGAATCTCCTCGCCCCCGCGCCAGGACCACAAAGACCAGGTCATGACCCTCCTTCCCGAAACGCTGCAAGGACCAAGCGAATAACCAGGACATGGCCACTGGCGACAAGGCTTTGCCTCAGACAGTCCCGTGACACCATGACAAGTCCCCGCAATTCCTAGCGATGAAGGCCACAGTCCACCAGTGTATCGAACTTGAGGACAACTTGGAAAAATAAAAACAGTGGGCCACTGGAAACAGAGAAAAACTATTCAATAAACAAATAAATTATAAACAAATATAAATAAATAAACAGACTAGATAACTAGAAAACTAGATAGAAAGATAGATAGATAGATGAATGGATGGATAGATAGATAGATAGGTAGATAGATAGATAGACAGACAGATAGATAGATAGATAGATTGATAGACAGATAGATAGGTAGATAGACAGATAGATAGGTAGATAGGTAGATAGGTAGATAGATAGATAGGTAGATAGGTAGATAGGTAGATAGGTAGGTAGGTAAATATTTATACACATGATTACAAATGAAATTAAATGATTATAAGTGATATTAAATGAATATTATCAAATATACACACATATAATCATATATATATACATATGTTAATTCTCATGGGGTCGTCGCTGCGGCGAGGCGTCCGAAGACATGGTCGCTGCAATCACAGCGATGCAGCCACCAATCATCCACCAGTAAAAGGGGTCAAAGCGCATGTCAAAGTGAAACAGGGGTTGGTAAATGGCGTAGTTGAACATCACCCAACTATTGGGGATAGAATTTTACAACAGATACTTGACAATGATGTTTAAAATCCTCAAAATGTGGCATTTACCAGCCCCTGTGAAACAACCATCCTCTAGCATCCTCAAACATGAAAACGCACTCCAATTTCTTCGTTGTCAAGAAGCGGCTTTGGGTTGAGGATGTCCAAACATCTTACAAGACATGATCTACCTGAACCTATATGTTTTCGGAGCATATCCCCAAGGGCCACGTCAGTTAAAACCCCAGCGAGCTACCGATGGTTTCCACCGTGACGGCCACACCTGTGATGACAGATCGGTCTTGGGGACCCGTGGCATTGTTGGTGAATTGCATGTTGACAGCCTCAGCGGTCAGAGCTCAGCAGTGTCGTGGCAACCATGGATGGCGATGGGACGATAGGCGAAGCGATTCAACAGTCATTATGAACAAACAACACCAGAGAAAAAAAACACAATACATATAATGTGCCAACATTAGATATATATATATATATGATTATATATGTGTGTGTGTAAGTGTGTGTGCGTGTGTAAAGTCCGGGAAATTTAGAAATCAAACTCTGACAATATGGACAGCTCAGCAGCCAGAGAAAAAAAGGAAAGAAGAGGTCAGAGAAGAGAAAGAGCCAGAAGAAAGAAGATGAAGGTGCGCAAAAAGGTACAGTAGAAAAGTCGCGAAACTTTGTTTTTCCAATGTTTTGTAGCTCCGGAGGGTCGAAAAGTAGACTCGCTAAAGCGGCAGGTGCAGAGCCATCTGGGGAGATGAGAGATCAAAAATAATTGCACACCGTTGTGGCGCGAAGCATGTTTCGAAGTCAAAATGTCAAAGACACCTCAGCCCCGGAGCACTTGTGGAAGTTGAGATGTTGAAAAAGCGCACGCCGTTGCGGGACGAAGCACATTGGGAACTGAAAATGTTAAAACCATTACGGGTTCAATTTTGGATGTTGAGATGTCAAAAATGTGCACGCCCTTCAAAAACACCTCAGCCTCGGAGCACTTTTGGGAGGTGAGACGTTGAAAAAGTCCAAGCCGTTGTGGCACGAAGCACGTTTCGAAGTAAAAATGTACAAAACGCTTCAGCCTCAAAGCACTTTTGGAAGTTGAGATGTTGAAAAAGTGCACACAGTTGTGGCACGAAGCACATTTCGAAGTCAAAATGGTAAAAAAACACCACGGATGTTGAAGCCTCGTTGCGTGTGGCCGGCGCAATGGATATGCACCTTGCCAAAAGTGAGCCAAACGAGCGGGCTTTGCAGCAGTTTCAACAACGATGGCACGTGCGGGGCGTTTGACCAGGATCTGCAATCGCATTTCGTGTGGCAGGCGCAGTACAAGAGACGCGTGACTCAAACATGTTATATAGGAGGTCCGGCCGCTGATTTCCTGAGAAGGGTTGCATTTTGGAGCATCAGATCTTCAGGTTTGCTAAGATGATTCTGCATGACAGGTGCAGCACTTCGTATGACTTTGCCTCACTTTTTCGTAACAAGCGCAGTAGGACTTAGCTTTCCATTTTTGACGGAAGCCTCGCAGAATTTGACGTTCGCTATTTCAAAAATTGAGGAAGTCTCGCGAATTTCATCGCCTTGGAGCTGCGAGCTTTCACTTCTTGAGGAAGTCTCGCAGAATTGTTTCGTTTCAGACAGATAGATAGATAGATAGATAGATAGATGGATAGAGACAGATAGACTTCAGATAGATAGACAAATAGATAGCCCGACACTCCAACCACCTTTCGATCCATCAGTGGGTTCGCTCTGCCATCCATGATTCACAACAACCAACCTCTCCTATAGGTTTCCTATCTTCCGAAACTTTTGCCACCGCCTTGTGCAGTACTACTGGTATTGAAGCAGGTATATCATCTTGTACAGTTTGGTGCAAGATACATAAGATACACATCGTCACGGATGCGGGATATCCAAACATCCGTGATGTGATGTCTATCCTTGCAGATTTAGGTGGCATTGGTGGCTGGGGCCACTTCTTCCATTCACAATCCGCTTCTTGAAACTGGAAATGTTCGATATTCTCGCATTATCTGCGCTGTTTTGTACCAAAATGGAAAAGTTGGGGAAAGAAAACCTTGTGGGACTTCTAGATTATCAACTCATCGAAATTCTGAAAATCTACTTCTCACATCAAGTCACGGCTTGGGAAACGAACGTGCAGGCAAAAATCAGGTGCAGCACGTTCGCCAGAGGCACCGTCGAGGCATAGGGCAGCAGCACGGCTGTGACACCCGCAGTGCAGCTGGTGAGGATCGAAAAGAAGCGAGGCGAAAGGTGCTTGGGAATCAGAGATGGCATGATGAAGGAGAAGTAGATGATGCTCCTTGAGAGCGTGGAGGATCATCCCACGAATCGTAACTGGTCAGTAACCCATAATAACCCTTTTTTTTGTAAGTCCCCCAACTGGATTCTTCGATTTAAAACTCATATAACCCCATTTACTAGAGCAGTTAGTTACGGGTAGTTACATGGGTAGTTCTTCTTTAGAGGCTCGGCTTGGTGCTTTAGCTCTGAAAATGCCATAGCTCGGTGGGGCGGTCGAGGTTTTAGAGAAGTCATGTGACATGGGGAAGCAGATGGAACAATGCTCCTGAGATCTGAGAAAAAATGGTGAAAACACCATTCTTATGGTGGCTTCACCAACAATAATGGGGTTTCAACCAATGGTTTTGGGGTGAAAAATGGTGAAAAGTAGATGATGCTCAGCCAACGATGCTCCCGAGAATTGAGAAGATCATAGAAGATCTGATGTGCAGGACCCAGAAATCCCGTGACCAATATTTTTTATATGTCATGTAAGATTACGTAACTGGGTTTATAGGCATGCTCCCGATATAACTCCAAAGATGACCCCAATGGGAATGGAAGCCACTTGCACAAGGAATTGGGTAGGCAATTCGTCAACACATGATTGGATAACTTAAGCTTTGATTGTTTTTAAGAGCCCGCTTCCTCTACACCTATATCGCTATCACCTCGTAGGTGGCGCCGCCCAATGCGGGACCAGAGTCCAAAGCCCAGAACGCGAGAGGAGCGATCCCACCTCCTTTTCCTCGGCGAAGAAATTCTCCCAGCTTCATGGGGGACATCTCAACATTCTCAACTGATGAAAGACTTAACAGAAAGAACAGAAACAAAACAAAATAGACACCGAAAAAAAAAAACAAAACACTAAAATATATGATATATATATATATATTCTACATATTCTCAACTAAATTCATACTTAAAATATACACAAAAAATGAAATATTAGGTTTGATCCAACCAGTCGCCAAGGAGCCCATGGGAACATCTTCAAAAAATAAAAACGGGAGGTGGACCGGCTCTGTGTTGAAGACCCAGACCCCACTCATTTCAATTGCTTATCACTGAACTAAACTATCCTCTCTTGGGATCTTTGGGTGTTGGATTATTCTGAATTCTTTCTTGCATACCATCACGATTCTAAAAATAACCTCAGCTGCTTTTCAATTCCATTTCATCCCATTTCATCCCATGTCCATATTTCCCTCCTCGAGTGGTTCCCCCCCGAAACAGAAGGAACACATGGCCGCCATGGCCAAAAGCCATGCCCCGAGCTTCCGAAAGTCCAAGACCTCCCAGGGCCTTGTCGCTGATGAGCCACAAGGGGATAGCCTGCCAATCTGGACATCTGGACCCCCCAAAAAAATCGGGCACCCATGGGGCCTTAACTTCGGTCACTTGACTTTGTGATTAAGAATCCTATGTCGCACAATACTACTCACACCTCCTGACACAACTTGAGCTCAAGTTTTAATCCCATTTTGCGTACCTGAATTAGCCTGGAACAGTCCCCAAAAATGTGGGACCTCCCCTCCCAAAAAACCAGCTACCCTCCAGTCAATCAACCTCATAAACGCCGAACACGGCGAAGCCCTGGCAGAAACGCATCCACAGCCTCAGAAAATGAAGTCATGAAGCACTCGATCCGGGGCCCTGGTCCTACACCTAGCTGGGATTGGTATGGATTTATGGGGTTCCCCTGAAAACTTTGTATTTCACCTGTTTTCATCCATCGCCAACCAGAACAACATGATATCGAGTGGATCATCGGGTGGAACCTATCGCCCTCCCCTCACACAAGCCGAGGGTCAAAAGTGGCACCGGAAAACGGAAGAGCGCCTTGAGGCAACGCAAGCAGCAACACCAAGGGAGCCAGATGGAGCCAGCGAGCCGTTGACCCAATTCCCACAGATCATGGTTCAGTCACCCAGCCACATGTATGTCTTTGTCTTCTTTGATTTTTTGGTTTGTACTGTAATAGTTTGCCAACTGCCCTCTCCACCGTTTGTCATTACCATTCGGTCCACACTTTGCAGCCTTGGCCGGATTCAATTTCTGGCGAAAGGTGAAGGGCCGTAAAATAAGATCCACTCAATTGATCTGCCCTCTACTACCCTCTGGAAATTTAACCTCCCCAATTTCACACTAGAAAATATTACCCTATAGAAAATATTACCCTATTTGCAACAATGTATTGGCACGGTACTGTACCGTGCGGCTGTGTTTGAAGTTGAGGGGGGGAAAGCAAATGGCCTTCATCCATTGGAATTGGGGCATTTTCCTAAGGTGTCCATAATCTTCAAACAAACCTACTATACATCCTAGTAGCCTCTAGTAATCAAACGTGGCAGTGGAAAAATCACCCCATATATGCATATATATATACGGTAACTACATTTAAATATACGGACTTTTCAATATACGAACAGGTATTTTAGGCTAGCGGCTACCTCCGGGGCACGTATCTTCCAGCCAGCCATGTTTCAGTACGGCATTCCTATTGAACATGTGGTGGTTTCCTAAAAGGGGGCACTATGGGAAATCATCATCAATATGTAAATCATCCATTTTCATAGGATGTTCATGGATGTTCCATTACTTATCAAAAATCCATAAAAATCATTCAAACATATCAAAACTCCATCTTGGGGATGCCAATGGATGCCCCATTTTTACCCTCTGTTAAATTAACATAGCTATGGAAAATCACCATTGTTTATGGGAAAATCCACTATAAATGGTCATTTTCAATAGCTATTTTGACATAACCAGAGGGTAAATTTTAGGAAACACCTGGGACTGGCCATGACCCTTCCAAGGCGCCGCTTTGGAGCTGCGACGCAACTTTGGCGTCGCCTCCTCCTCCTCCACCAGCTCGAAGGCTCGGCGCACGCGGAGGAACACGGCGATGGTGGCGATGGCCAGGATGCAACCGATGCTGCTGGGAAGCATGGCTGGATAACCAGGCACCTCGGGAATTCTCGGTGTGTTTTTCGGGTTGCTCTAGGTCAACCATCTCTCCATCTGGAAAAGGAGTTCAGTGGTTCGTTTCTGTTCTTTCTATTGAGCGAAAAATATTGAAAATGCCCCCTGCTTGTTGCGCAAGATTTGCGTCATCTCTCAAGCCCCATTGCCAGCAACCACCAGGATCATCACTTTCTTAGGATTGGCCCTTTTTTAAACTTCAGTGGCGACTGGCATCGTGGGAGTATACCCTAACTATCCCTAACTTGAAATGCCAAAGTCTATGCCGCTCCCATACTCATGTTCCTTGTTGATGGCTTCAACTACCGTGAAAAACATTAGTCAGGAAGTACAAATGGATTACCCTCCGTTAATAATATAACATGGCTATGAAAAAAATGCTTATTTACTTCAACAAATGTTACTTCTAAGAAACGTGATTCTCCAGTTTGCAAACTACAAAAAAAAACTTCTTACCACCCTGAAAGAATTGTAAGCATCAAAAAGTGGAAACCAAATTTCCAAACCACCAATGATACCCCCACAGTATTGCCATGAAATTTTGAAAATCGTAAGCTTCCCCAAAAAAAAAAAAAATCTGGTAATTTAACATAGCTATAGAAAATCACCATTTTTAATAGGTAAACCATCTATAAATGGGCCATTTTCCATAGCTATGTTAGTTTACCAGAGGGATACCCTCTGGGTATCCCCAATCTTTGGCAGGCTGCGAGGCCATAGGTCCAGCCACCAATCCCAGGACCCACCAGCTGTGTGCCGCTGCCACACGCAATAATCAGGCCCAAGACCTGGACCGGGGGAAGTTCAGCCACCAAACCTGGAAAAAAAAAAACTGTGAACATGACTATATTTAACTACATTTGTTTAATTATATTTAACTCAACCAAATCTATGAAAATGTGGATTTAACGATCTTTAACCCAACCAAAGTGTGGACCTCGGCAATGAAAACGTGGATTTAACTATAAAAATGTAGACTTCGGCAATGAAAAAATCCGGATTTGTGTGAGAAAAATAGTTTAAACATGCTTTAACCGACCAAACAAGCGGGTTTTGCCGGCAAATGTGTGGATTGAACCAACAAATTGTGGTTTGTAGCAACAAATGCATTATTGAACCCGAGAAAAACATGCACATTCACCAAGAAATATGGCAAATTTCAAGCAACTGGTGTACAATGGGATAACATAAGGTAGGTATCACAGTAGGCCATTTTGGGAGGTGAAAAAACGGTGTACCGTTCCATCCCGGTCCCACGTCGCCTCAGGTCGCCTCTAGGCTTGCAACCCTTTTTTGATCCAGTGAATCCAGTGAATATCCAGCCCCTCTCTATCGTTTTTTGATGTTTTTTGTTTGTTAACTCACCATGTTATAGGTCACATCACCCTTCTTGTCAGCTAAACCACCATTTTTTTCAACAAAAGTCTCATCACAATTGCTGGTTAGACACTGTTAAACCATGAATTTACTGGTTTTTGCATCACAATTTTTGGTGCCTAAAACCATCACTTTTTGGTCGGTTGGATCAGCGCCTGCGTTTGCCTGGCATCTCCTGCTACGGCCGCAGCACAGGGGGCCACGAGTACTGGCCAACCATTGAACATACCCAGAAAGATGAAGCGGATACCTGAGAAACCCATAAAAGTGCTTTGGAAAATGGCATGTTAACATATGTTAACCAGGAAACATGGTGATTTAGCCAAGAAAAATGATGAAAAATGTGGATTTAACATGATTTAACCAAAAAACATGATGATTTAACCAACTAGAGGCTGGTAAACCAACTGTAATATGGTGATAAATGGTGATTTGACCAGCAACATTGAGGGTATAACATCAAGAATCAAGACTAATGCAGATATGATATGGTATAATGGTATGTAGTCGGATAACCCCCCAAGTATTGGATTGCTTGAGACAATCGAAGATTGAAACCACCATTCTTTTTTCATGTGTTTTTTTCCCATTAAAGAAGAGGTGTCCGACTTTCAATGTTTCGTTCATCCAATTCTTGGACTAAAACGTGGCTGTTCTGAAACCAAGAATGACCCTGGGGGAATGGGAAAAAATATGAAAAGTGATGGGTCGTGAGATATGATGACAGATTCATTCCATATGAAAGATGGGATGTTGGATGCCCATGGATGCCCCATTGCCACAAAGAAATGTGGACTAGTATAAGTGTCACTGGCCATTGACCATTAAGAAATGGGGAGAATGGTCGCTAGCTACCTTTTATGGTGGACGACCGCTGGTATCTTGCGGATTTCCATGGATTTCCATACTTCAAACTGTCCCAATTTTATCTTCGTCATTTGCAATGCCAACCCCATACTTGGGAGGGTTACCTCCACAAGTGTGATAGACAAATCGGTCCAACCAAGTCATACCCTGGCTGGTTACTAATCTGGGGTTGACATTCTGGCCGAAAAAATGCCTCCGCTGTAAGCTGGTGGAAATAGTCATCCAACTGGACAACTGGATCTCCATTGTGACGACTGGCAATCGAAATCCGCACGCGAAAACATGCGAAAACCAATGACATACCCCTTTATATTTCCATTCTAACCCACCTATACAACAATTTTTGACGGTTAATACTTGAAAACGACCCACTGGTCAGTCAAACCTGCCAACCCCTCCGGGAGAATTGACAGGCACACAGCCAAGCAGCACATTGCTCCAGCAAGGTTGGTACAAAAGCTAAACCTCGACGCATCGAATGGAGATCTCCCACCGACAGGAGGCATCAGCCCATCATTGACTGGTGGTTCATCCCTTTGAAATCTGTTGGTCAGAACCAGCTGCATCGACTTTTTAGTGTTTCAAAGTTGGTAAAGATAAAATTCATAGCGGAAGAAAGCCCCATCTGTCAGTGTGAGCCTATATGAGCCTATTATGCGTCCAAAAACATCTCCCCCAGCACTGCCGTGTTTGTAGCCTGCAGTCTAAAGATCGCTTCTTCGAACGCAAGGTTTGCAAGGCGATCAACAACATCCTTCTGGAAATGGGGATGTGTCAAAACCTTGTACCCCTGTAGTTCACATCAAAATAGCTGGTAAATGGATGTTCATCCCCCTAAAAATGGTATGTATAGGTATTGATCCATAGCCAAATCACGACAAACAATTTTGATGCGGGGATTCGATAAAGGAAGGCGACAAACCGGTGCTCCAAGCACGGCCACATCGTCCCACACCGGCTGCGTTTGTGCCAGGAAACAAGATGCCACCTGCCAGAGAGCCAAACAAAGTGGCAGCGAGCACTGGCTTAGGACCATGTCTTTGCATCACTAAGCCCCACAAAGATGACGTCACCTCGGTTTTTCGCAATGGGGATAACCAACAAAAATGGTGGTGACAGATGGTGATAGTGGAATATTGATGGGATATTCATGGAATATGAATCGAATGTTGGTTGATACCCTGCGGTTGTCATCAAACATGGCTATGTCAATGTAGCTGGAAAATCTCAACTCAACTACAGCTGCTATAGCTGAGGTATTTCACTTGGACCCCTTGGAACATCAGCCAACTGAATGGGTGATTTCACAGCAAACCGAAAGATTCATTCGATTCTCTCCTGTGACCTGAAAAAATTGCCAGCGCAAAATATGGACAGATTCACAGCCACTGTTTGGATATCCACCGTATGAGTTGATCGATGAAATTTTGAAACACCTCGGGGGCAAAATGGAAGCTAGAATCTAAACATCATTCTCTAGAAGAAACTATTCCTCTACTGTAGGGTTTTCCAGTTTTCCATGGTCTTCCTGGCAAATAAGAACTAAATCAGGCACCTTCCGACACTGTCGCAGATTTTCATGTAGTCAATCAACCAATTTTTTCCCCCGCAGAGATCCTCCAAGACATGGCACGATACGCCCACACACGTTGGCAGACTGTAACCAGCCCGCGACAAAGCCAGCGTCGTTCTTGTCTTCCTTGGCCATGAGCTATCCACACAGTGCATGATGTAATGGTTGGGGCCATTTTCCCACATTTTCCCCATGTAAAAGTTAAATCAATCGCCGTTTTGGGGTGTAGTTCAATGATGTTCCTAGCTATACACATCTATAAACTATAAACCTTCATTTACTTCGGGGATTTCCCGGCGCGTTTGATCAGCCCAGCCACCGTCCAATGCATATCTGCTGTGAGTACGCCTGCATAGCCTTGGAAGATCTTGGAAGGGAGCCAAGAAAAGATCCAAGAAAATGTGTATCAAACATTGGATTATCATATTACTTTACGTATGGAACTTTAAGATGCCAACATATGCCAAAAATGTAAAAAGGTTGGCTGTATGTTTGGGACAATTTAGAATTCTCAAGTGTGGAATTCCTGACTCATTATCCAGTCGTGAAACTCGAGTACCACGGGTTGGCCAAGTTCCAACGGGTTTTCGGACTCGTCATGTTCGGATTGACTCGTGCTCGTCAGAATGGCAGAATTGATGGTCATGACCATCATACAGCGACTATAATATTACGTAACTATACCGTATCTATAATGACTAATGACTACAATGCCACTAGTACAATACAATATGTATACATATATATATACAATATAATATATATATAATATATATATAATATATAATGACTATTGACTACAATGACTAATGACTACAATATATCATATAGATGTAGCAACATGCACTCTAACCCAGCTGGAGATCTACTCCCAACCCTAGAGCTAATTGGTGGTGAGTCAAGACTATGCCCGCAAAATGCATCAACAAATGCATCAACAAACCCCTCAACTCCTCAACATGACCAATTCATTCGCAGCTTTCGATCCAATTCCACATGGGCATTTTGTGGGCCCATTGGCCCATTCGTCCCCAAGTCCCCATGGCGCGGCACTGAAGAGGGAACAAACCGTGTAGAAGTGCGCTGCGTCCGTCATGCCTCTGAGTTGGTCATTCCATCCATGGCAAATCTTGAAACCAAGAGAAACCAAGCATGAAATATGAGTTTGTCTGTAATAATGGGGAATTACATGAAATTAGAACAAATTAGCTAGTTTATGCTAGTTTTCCCCGATTAACAATGGTTAGAAGTGAGGTATACCATGGTATACCGGTATACCTGTATACCTCATTTTCAGACCCATATGGAATCACCCCCAGTCGATCTGCGCCCGAGGTGCAAAGGAAGGCCACCTGTAACCGTGGCAAGGCGCCAATCCGATTCTCGGCTCGCCCTTCCATGCCCACTGCCATGGCGCCGCATGGCAATCACAGGAGACGAATGGAGACGAGGTTCTAGGGACCTTATTTTTCAGACAAACCCTATATTGGTTGGGTTGGTCTAGGTGGTACTATTTTGCAGGGGTATTTTGCAGGGGTTTAAGATGGTTTAAGCCGCATGTGTGGGCATTACCCCAAACCCATGGTTGCTTCCACATGAAATTGGACTAACTTTGGATGATCTTTGAGGGTATCCCTATTTCAGGAAACAGCAACATAGTGGCAAATCATCAAGCTGTGAGTGTTGGAATGTTCACCTTCGGCTAGTGACTGGATACCTCCCGGGTTTCCTCAAAGCTGGAGATCGAGCCTGTGTCGTGGATGGGATATCTATATTCAATGTTCAAGACACTAATCATGAGCTGTGGATTCATATGACATCATATGACAATGAACCAATGGGTAAGCTTCCAATTTCTGGCCTATTTAGATCATATCTCCTCCTAGGCCTACCCATAAATATCAACAACTGCTGATCAACTTGCGGACAAAAGCGGATCTCGGACGAAGTCGACAGTTCTACCGTTCCTGACCCGTCACGACGTACAGGATGTACAACTCGTCCAAATCCAAAAAAAAAACTGACGTTAGAGAATCATACAGAAAAATTCAATAATATAGAATAGATAAATACTTAGAACATCTTAGAACGAACATGTCATCAAACCAGGCGCCCCTGCGCACGCGATTTCACCTGGCAGGATCCATCTGTCGCTTTGGAACACAGGGTATATCCCAAAAATGTCTATTTTGAATAGGGAAAGTGACCATAAACCCACTGGAATTGTGGGCATCCTACATTTTCAGACAAACCTAATTGAGCTTAATTAATTCAATTCAAGCATGCAGCTGGCATCACAGAGCTCCGTAGTTGACAAGCCATTCAAACTCCTGATCGATGTGCAATTCCTATGCCCTGTCACCCACCAAGTGTCTGTCCTTTTTCGACCGCGACTTTAGCGGATAAATCTGTGCACAGCACATAGAGGCTTAATAGGGTTGAGCTACCTGCGCCTTTTTACTACTTATGTTTATGTCACAAGGATCCGCGTCGACGTGCAAGAGTTCAGCATGATCGACAGGGGTCCCACAAAGAAGTCATGAGATCGCCCCCATTGATCTGCATTCTGACATATACAAAACCACAATGGCCGAAATGTTGGAAAGTCATGGAAAGTCCTTTTTTCATTGCCACAGGTTGGCCCAACCCTTATCTGGCCTCTATGTCCTTTCATCTTTTTTTTGTTTCAACGCGCTTCAGGGGCCCCTTCTTAGAGCCCGCACGCGTGTCGCGCGTTGTTCGCGGGACGGGCATGGTACCGGCCGAGGAGGGCCGCGTGTCAGTGGGGGTGAGGAGGGGCTTGGGCCGTCGTGTTGCAGTGCCTCAGTTATAATGGGATTACCATGGGATTATAGTGGCTTAATGGGATGTCATGTGCATGAGCATGTATATGATAATTATAATATAATTACGTATAAACATATGATATGTATGTGTGTGTGCAAATGATCAATCCATAATCCCTTCCCCTTGATATTCAACACCCCCAGGAAGCATGGTTTAGTAGCCAATCTTACGCCAAAAATTCCAGATGGTTAGCTGGTTTATTCCTGCCCAAGGTTGATCTAGTCGATGTATCGAACTGATGGATCAATGGATGTAGCTCACGGTAAATTTGATCACGACCGAACCCTGTTCTCCCGAGCCAAAGGGAATCATGGTTTTAATAAGCGAAATCATCCCCAAATGGCCTTAGTTCAGGTTAGTGAAAGGGAATTGACTTGCTGGCGAAATGGTGAAATATGGTGAAGTGGGGTTGGTGAGGTCGGGTTTGGGCTTGCCACATCACAGGAAGCCCAGAGTCTGTTTTTTAACTAAACATTAGGGTCCTGTAAACTGTCACTGTACCAACAAGGGTACTTCAGAAATTTCAGAATCACTGACCCTGCCCTGCCACTGTGAGAATCGTGTTTCTATCGATTGAAAGCCGGCATGATCCGGCATGTGCAAATCAACCATCACCACTTTCACCCTGCTTCAGGGGCCCTCAGTCCAAAATAAATAAAACTAAAGCAGCCTATTGCATTCTATTGCCATCTAAGATCAATGAAGCCCTGTCAAGATCAAGAGGCAAACCAACCTGACCCACGTGGGTAAGGGATGGTGAAAATCAAAATAAAGATGCTGAAGATTGGATCTCTAATGTTTGGAATGTTGAATCTACCACTTTTGTGGGCGGTGGCAGAATCCTCTTTTTGGTTGGTGAAGTCACCACTCTTGATTACTAAACCCTGATGTCGAAGATATTTTGGGTGGCTCCCAATTTTTCAGCCATACCTAGGGTCCCTAGGTGCCACACATATCACCGCCACGTTGCTATGTGGTCTAGAGCCCAGTGCTGGCACAGGCATGGCTCGTGTGGCGCTCAAGGGGCGGCTTTCGACCTTGACGCCTGCAGGAATCTGAACTCTGGGGTGTTGGAACCAAGTTTTCAAGTTTAGCAGGCTGGAATTTCCGGAATATCTGCATCTTTTTGTTCATTTGTGGGTTGCATGTTCTCAGGTTTTCGAGCTTAGGTTGACTTAGAATTCCATTACATTAGATTCCATTGCTGAGAACGTCGGTCCCTCATCTTCACGATTCTTTACGTGTGCCAGGTTGAATTCGACATCATTCAAGTACTATTCTCAAGTTGCTAGGCTCTAGAATCCCATAGAATCCCCATGCACCCCACTCCTTGATGAGCGCCAAGACCCGTCGCCAAGCGCTTGTTCGGCATGGGCCATGCAGCTTTGTAGAGATCTGGCAATGAACTCTGATCCGCCAAGTTGATCCTTGAAGGATCCAAGGAACAAAATGGGCCATGTCCCCCATTTTTGGGTCGTGAAAAAAAAAAAAACACATTGCGCGGCTCAAAATCTTCGTGTGATGACTTCTTCGGCGCCAAAACCTTTGGAAAAAGGAAAAACGGGTGTCTTCTCCATGTTTTGGGGAGGAAATCCACAGTTTTGGTAAGGAAAAGAGCATGAAAATGTCCATCACTTCGATCCGTGGCTCTTTTCAAAGGTCCCCCGCAGGAAGCTGCTGCGACGCATCATCGACACGATGTCAGGACCGATTCCTGGAGAGCCAACTGGGCTCGCAGGGATGATGGAAATCTCACAAGGTGGTGCCTTCATGGGGGCTCCATGGCAGACATTTCCATACCATAGCTACATGGGGTTTATAAAAATTTATAAACCAAGCTACACAACTGGGAAGAACTAAGAGGCACCACCTTGGGCCTCTCCCAGCTCCTGATGCTCCACCCAGCGTTGAGCTCATCCACATCGTCCCTGTCTTTGGCGTCCGTCCCGACACAGTCCCTGGCACGCGGGCCCGCCGCGGCGCGTTTCGGCGGTCCGGTTGTTGGTAGGCCTTCAGAAAGTCCTGGGAGGCAGCTGCCAGGGGGTTGCCCCAGAAGTTGCCTTGTTTATAAGTAGGTTCACTAGCATTTGTGGTAGGTATACATATCTATATCATCCTGTATAACTATATATACATGTATTGTGTCTTTGGGATGTGTTCATTCATATGCATGCATGTATTATGTATGTATGAATGCATGGATGCATGCATGTATATATATATGTATGATATATGTTATGTGTATATATAATATATATATATATATATTATTGTTCATAAGTTCGGAGGGCCATAGGGATTGCGAATTACTGTATTAATATGAAATACTACAAATCAACCTGGGAAGGAAGGAGGGGAATGGATGCCAGATTTAATTAGGATCAAATCGTGTTTCAATCCTTCATCCGTTTGCGTTTCCAGGTCAATGGTGCAAGGCTTAACTCTAGAGTAAATTGGGGATGGGTCAAAACCCTGGTACCTAGTGAACCCCAAAATAGCTGGTAAATGGATGTTCATCCCACTAAAAATGTATCTATAGGTATTGACCCATACCCAATTCTCTACCTTTGAGGGAGGGTTAGCATTGGCCGCAATAGAAGAAAGGCATTAACTTCTGAGTCAATGCCAAGGCCTTGATCTTACTTTTCTCCTTGCTTTGCTTCACGTTCTCTTTGTTTTCTTATGCCCTTTGCCCTTTGCTCTCCATTTTTTTCCACATTCCTGTCCTCGCAAAGCCTTAAGGCTTTTCCCATCAGTTGCTTGGGAGCTGTTGTGACAGAATTAAATCTTGAGCTAATTCTGTTCATACTGGTTCTGATACCTCTCTTTCTAACCTCTTCCCTACTCTGCTTATATTTATTCTTCCCTACTCTCTTCGACTCTCTGGTGCTCCTTTACCTTTTCTATCCTTTTGATTCTGTCCTTTTTTCTTTTCTACTCTGTTTACGTGTTCTTTTTAAGTGCATTTGCCCGATGTTTCCTTAGGAAAAAAGCTGCAACGTCCCATGTACGTCGCAACCGGCCCCGATCACCGAAGTCAAAGGATGCCACAGCTGCAACCACTGGCCCAATGGAATGACATGAACTCTGGAGAGAAAACTCCTCAAGGATGCCGAACCAAAAAAAAAGGAACCAAATCAAGATTTGATTCACAAATGGCTACCTCCCGTTCAATTCCCCGGATGTCATTAACAAAGAATTAAATCAAGAGTTAATTCTTCCGCAACCAGCAACAGGAATTAAAACTTGAGTTCACACCTAGCAGGCACAGGTTGAAGTGTATACAAGAGTAACGATTTAAATTGTGATTTAATTTTTATTGCGTGCTGGAATCCACTCCTTTTGCCTGGGGAAAGCACCTTATGGGGTGACTTCTACATCCCACTGAAATTCGCAGTTTTCGATACAAAGAAAGGGCAAACCATAGTTTGTAGCCGTTCTCTATCTGTATATGAATCATATTAAATCTGTCCATCATCTGGTTGCTGGTTGGGTACTGATTGGTTGGTGATGTTTATGATTTGTGAACTTTGTGGTGTTCATCATTCCAAAAAGTGGGGGTCAGGAACATACAGATGTGACTGGTGGCTGATGTCATGGCTAACAATAGGGGCAGTACCCCTTCAAAAGGGTCCATGTTGAGTGGTTTGGTTCTTGGTTGTTTGATTTTGTAATCATATATTAGATTACAGTAAATGGCGGTGGGTGGGAATAAAAATGATATCATGAAGAATTGAGTGGAATTCGGAAACAACTAAGGGTCTATATAATGTGGCAATATCTGGCAATACAAACAACCAATGATCTGGGTTAAACCGATGCATTCTTGGGGAAAAGTAGAACATGTTCCGAACGGGAAACCATGGTTTTTCATGGTTTTTCCACGTCTTGTGATATGTTTACCCGGTGGACAAAATTGTCCATCATCAACCTGCTGCTGGCGTCCAAGATAAAGTCCAGTTCGGTTCCCAGCAGCACCTAACCTTTTTCCATGTCACCCTGGAGAACTGCCAACGTTTCGAAATAAGTTGGAGTTCCAAATTTCCTGTGAAAAAGATGTTTTTTTTCGCACAATTATCCCGGTATCCCATTGATGACGGATTTCACAGGATTTCACAGGATTTCACCCTGTCAATTCTGGATCAGTCCCAGCATGTCCCAGCATGTCCCAGCTACCGAGGCTCTTCTTCCGAAAACTGACTCGCCTCAGGCATCTCTTCTTCCACGGGCACCGCTGGTGCTACCGGCGCTACCGGATCGACGGCCTCTGAGCTGTCCTAAGCAAGTTTGAGGTTGGGTAATAACCCTCACAAGAGGGATGATGCAAAAACATGCAAACACATAGGTTTAATAACCCCCTAGATATCTATCTATCTATATATATATTTATCTATGTACATATCATAAAACATCATTAAATATCACTAAATATCACTAAACATCAATAAAGATCAATAAATATCATTAAATATCAATAAATATCATTACATATCATTACATATCATTAAATATCATTAAATATCATTAAATATCATTAGATATCATTCAATATCAATAAATATCATTAAATATCATTACATATCATTAAAGATCAATAAATATCATTAAATATCATTAGATATCATTAAATATCATTAAATATCAATAAATATCATTATATATCATTAAATATCATTAAATGTCATTAAATATCATTAAATATCATTAAAGATCAATAAATATCATTAAATATCATTAGGTATCATTAAATATCATTAAATATCATCAAATATCATTAAATATCATTAGATATCATTGAATACCATTAAATATCATTAAATATCATTACATTTCATTAAATATCATTAAATATCAATAAATATCAATAAATATCAGTAAACATCACTAAATATCATTAAACATCAATAAAGATCAAACAATATCATTACATATCATTAAACATCACGAAATACCAATAAATATCAGTAAATATCACTAAATGTCATTAAATATCATTAAATATCATTCAATATCAATAAATGTCATTAAATATCATTAAATATCATTCAATATCAATAAATATCATTAAATATCATTAAATATCAATAAATATCAATAAATATCACTAAATATCACTAAATATCATTAAACATCAATCAAGATCATTACATATCATTACATATCATTAAATATCAATAAATATCAATAACTATCAGTAAATATCACTAAATATCATTAAACATCAACAAAGATCATTAAATATCATTAAATATCATTACATATCATTAAACATCACGAAATACCAATAAATATCAGTAAATATCACTAAATGTCATTAAATATCATTAAATATCATTCAATATCAATAAATATCATTACATATCATTAAATATCAATAAATATCAATAAATATCAGTAAATATCACTAAATATCATTAAACATCAATCAAGATCAATAAATATCATTAAATATCAACAAATATCATTACATATCATTACATATCATTAAATATCATTAAATATCAAAAAATATGATTAAATATCATAATATCTTTCTATCCTATATCTATAAATGTCTATATTTTATATTATATTATCATCAACCAACCAGACTTTAGCAGCGCTCACATGTCAACCACAGCAGCCGTGGCCGAACTCGTCTCCATTGGCTCTGGCACTGCAGGGACCGGCACCACCACCGGCGGCACGGCGGGCACAGCAGGGGCCACGGGCGTTCTGAGTCGGGAGATGGCAATGGCTAGGGAAAACTGACCAAAAAACCTCGAATTTCGATGAAAATGGATGAACATGCAGCAAAGATTGAAGGAAACCACGAAAGATCTCAATTGAGTTGAAAACTATAGAGGTCGGCCCTCTTTGCCTGGAGGTTTGCTTCAGATCTGGACAGTTGCTTTGGCCTTATTTGTACGTTGTCCCTTGATCTTCAATGACTTTGCTGCGCTGACACGTCAAGAAACTTGCATCAAAACATATCAAAACAACCCTCCTCATTTGTCTTCTTGATAACATCCCCATTTCCACATTGCAAAATCCCAGCTGTCTAATCGTAACCCAAAACGTTGATAATTATTCCCAATTTCAAGGTAACTCGAAACATAGGATTGGTTAACCCATGTACCCTCCAAAAGTGGCTATCATTTCCCTTGGGGTAAACTAAAACATAGATGTGGCAAAAAAAAAGGTTTCGGAACATGATCTACTTTTAATATCTTTTAATGATGTGTTTTCATGGGGTGTTCCACATCTATGTTGGTTTACCGTATGGATCCCTATAGGGTACCTGGAATGGACTGGATCAACCCTGATTTCTGGACATAGCGTCTCCGGAACGGTGGCAGGCCCGGCCGCTGCAGGCGGAGCCGGGGGAGCAGCCGGCGCAGGCTCGACTTTGCTTGGGGGCTCCTGATCCCAAGAAACATGGGATTTCAGATGAGTTAACCCCTTCTGGTTGGTGGTACCTACCCCTCTGAAAAATAGTCAGTTGGGATGATGACATTCCCAATATGATGGGAAAAATACATTGCTTTACTTCGAGTTATCCCCACAATGACATTTATACATTTTGTTACTGGCAAATCTTCTGGCATTCTATCTGACATACCTTCTGGCATTTTATCTGGCATATCTTCTGGCATTCTATCTGGCATATCTTCTGGCATTCTAGCTGGCATATCTTCTGGCATTCTATCTGGCATATCTTCTGGCACTCTATCTGGCATATCTTCTGGCATATCTTCTGACATTCTATCTGGCAAATCTTCTGGCATTCTATCTGGCAAACATTCTGGCACTTTATCTGGCATACCTTCTGGCTTTCTATCTGACATTCTATCTGGCATACCTTCTGGCATATCTTCTGGCATTTTATCTGGCATATCTTCTGGCATTCTATCTGGCATATCTTCTGGCATTCTATCTGGCATACCTTCTGGCATTCTATCTGGCATATCTTCTGGCATTCTATCTGACATTCTATCTGGCATATCTTCTGTCATTCTATATGGCCGTTGAGGTCCAGCGGTGCACACTGAGCTGGGAAGGTCCCAGGTTGAGGTCCAGCGATGCAAACTGACCTCGGAAGGTCCCAGGTTGAGGTCCAGCGGTGCACACTGAGCTGGGAAGGTCCCAGGTTGAGGTCCAGCGGAGGTCCCAGGTTGAGGTCCAGCGGTGCACACTGAGCTCGGAAGGTCCCCGGTTGAGGTCCAGCGGTGCACACTGAGCTCGGGGGCTTGGCCAAGAGTTGGCAAGGCGGAAGTTGAGGAGGAAGTTGATGCAGACATGGTCGAGGCGAAACAGGCGGAGGAGAAGGAGGAAGAGGAGAGCTAGTCGAGGAGGAAGAGAACAGCTCTGATAAAATCTAACAACCCTCACCTGGCAGGTGGGGAAAAATGTTCCAAACCACCAACCAGCCTTTTATAGTGGTGGTTTGACTCACACCAAGTAGGATTGAAATGGATTTAATGGATTTCACAAAGAAAAATAGGATTCAGCGGGATAAAAGTGGTCATTGTTTGCTCAAAGAGAAGCCAAAATCATTCCGGTCACCATTGAAAAGATTTAAAAACAAACAAAACAACATGAATCCAAGAGAATTTTCGTGTGTTGTACATCTAGTAGAATCTAGCGGGCGCCACAAATTCTCCCAACCCCCCCAAAAAAAATAAAGTTTCGCCCATGACCTTGACCTTCACTTTCAACTTCGCCACTCTTATGACATTTCAACCATAAAACATAGAAAAAAAAACATCACATTAACAAATTTCACGAAACTGACTCCCAGTTATCCGCAGTGGCCCCTCTCCTTGGATTTGGGTCTCTTGGATCCACTTCGTTTGGAGCTTTTGGATCCACTGCGCTTCGCGCCTTTGGATCCCTTGGACTCCGCCACCAGCTGCGCCGCCGCATCGCTGGGCATGTCCAAGGGCAGCCGAGAGGGAGCGAGGCCCCAGCGGGTAGTGGCGTTCACACGGTAGGGCGGCTTAGGGGGCAGGGACTCCAAGGATACCGAGCCCTGGCGGGGCAGGGTCAGGTTGCATCCTGATTAGTAACAAGGTTTGTTATTGTGGCGAGGAACCGCCAAATTATTCAGCATCCCTGACTGATTAGTCGTATGTCGTATGGGTCCGGTATTGTGGCCACATTTTTGGCAGACCATTCTTTAATGCCTGTTTGCAAATAGAAAAATCTTGCGTTTTTACCCTTCCTAAAGCATCCAATCTCTTATTCAACCATTATTGATTGTCAGCACCTGAACAAATTTTCAAGCCACTAGACCATGAGAGGGTCCAATTCACTTTAGTACTAGTAGGTGTGTTTTCTGGGCTATTGCAGCCAACTTTTCCAAGAGCTGATCCTGGAGCCAGGAGAAACAAAAACATGTTTCTTCACTTTCTCTCTTTCTCTCTTTCTCTCTCTCTCTCTCTCTCACTCTCTGTCGCTTTATTATTTCTTTCTTTCTCTTTCTCTCTTTCTCTTTCTCTCTTCTCTCTCTTCTCTCTCGCTTTATTTTTTCTTTCTCTTTCTCTCTTTCTCTTTCTCTCTTTCTCTCTTTCTCTCTTTCTCTCTTTCTCTCTTTCTCTCTTTCTCTCTTTCTCTCTTTCTCTCTTTCTCTCTTTCTCTCTTTCTCTCTTTCTCTCTTTCTCTCCTTCTCTCTTTCTCTCTTTCTCTCTTTCTCTCTTTCTCTCTTTCTCTCTTTCTCTCTTTCTCTCTTTCTCTCTTTCTCTCTTTCTCTCTTTCTCTCGTTCTCTCTTTCTCTCTTTCTCTCTTTCTCTCGTTCTCTCGTTCTCTCGTTCTCTCGTTCTCTCTTTCTCTCGTTCTCTCTTTCTCTCTTTCTCTCTTTCTCTCTTTCTCTCTTTCTCTCTTTCTCTCTTTCTCTCTTTCTCTCTTTCTCTCTTTCTCTCTTTCTCTCTTTCTCTCTTTCTCTCTTTCTCTCTTTCTCTCTTTCTCTCTTTCCTCTCTTTCTCTCTTTCTCTCTTTCTCTCTTTCTCTCTTTCTCTCTTTCTCTCTTTCTCTCTTTCTCTCTTTCTCTCTTTCTCTCTTTCTCTCTTTCTCTCTTTCTCTCTTTCTCTCTTTCTCTCTTTCTCTCTTTCTCTCTTTCTCTTTCTCTCTCTCTCTCTCTCTCGTTCTCTTTCGCTTTTTCTGTCTCTCTCTCTCTCTCTCTCCCTCTCTCCCTCGCTCCCTCGCTCCCTCGCTCCCTCTCTCCCTCTCTCCCTCTCTCCCTCTCTCTCTCTCTCTCTCTCTTCCTCTTTCTCTTTCTCTTTCTCTTTTTCTTATTGCACCCTTCTCAACGAAACTACTTGAGGTGCAAAAGGTAACGCAACCAACATACAAGTACTACAAGTACTATAAGTTCACCGGCAGAAGAAAAAAGTATAATTATATTTCAAGTGTCGCCAATTAAAATCCTTACGTAAGTGCCTTAAGTATATGATCGTATTTTATCTGGTGAACAACGTTTAAAAACTCAACTTTACAGAGAGTACAGCGTTTGTTTGCGAGTGGTGGGGGCCCCCACACTAATCAGGACGGAACATTATATATATAATTATTTCTAATGTTGATTGAGTGGAATATTCGTAGGATTCATGGACTGGTTGATACCCTCCGGTGTAACGTGGCTGGCTAAGAAGTCCCATGAAATCTGCGCTAATTTGAGGTGTATAGCCCTGGGAAAAAGATTGACCTAATGGGGAATTTTCCCGTAAGCCATGATTGATTACCAAGTGATATAAAGATAAGCAATATCTATAGAATATGGGTGGAATAACTATGGGGTAATACCCTTCAGCGTCATCAGCTCCACGGCTGGTAATGTTTCTGGAAAATCGTCCAGACATCATGTGAGGCGGGAATTCCTCAGCGCCGACCTCTTCCAAGCGATTTGCCAGAAGTCTGAGTTTCTCAGCGTATAGAGACCACATCTCGTCACCTTAAGTCTGTGGGCAAAGCTTCAGTTTCAGGGTCAGGATGGGCCAGGTTCCTTCAGATGTGAAGCTGGAAACAGCTTATTAAGAGAACTGAGTCAGCGCTTCTTGGTAATGAATAGGTCTTCTGCTATGGTAAATCATCGGTGGAGGAACTGATGGATGGACCACATCACACCATTGACCATGGATGGCTCATGAACCTATTTCTACGGTCCGTTTGACCAAATTTGATCAAATTTGCAGGCTTCGCATTTAGGATTCAATCACTTTCCCCAGAAATCAAAGGCAAAGCCAGAAAGGAACTAATGATAGTTTCAATATGACAAAGTGAAGCTGAAGTTACAAAGACAAATGCTAGGTGTGCGATTTTGAGCACTGAAAATGTCACCCGCATCATCAATCTGCCACAACCTGAATTATTACCAGATCTGGCCACTAATAACAATAGTCCCAAATGCGGAGTTAGATTGGGCTGGTAGCGACCCAAAGGTTAGAGAAAACACACGGCAGCAGCCGGAAGCAAATCCTTTTCATCCAAGTGCAAAAGCTGACCCGGCCGTGTCTTGAGCCACGGCCAGCAAGCGGCACAGTCAAGCTGTACACATGCACAATGCACCACAACACACCATTCAATCCTGGGTTTTCACATCCAAGGAAGATGATCTTGACTGTGCAGCTAATTCAGCGGGCGCGCGTTGGCACCAGAGATCGACTGGACGCAGCCAGGATGGATCTGCCGGACGCAGCCGGACTTGGGGCATTGAGTCCCTTCATGCGGTCTTTGCGGCGCTGCCGTTGAGCTTTTCTGAGACCGCGGCGCCTTTTCTCCTCCTTAGCTTCTTCTGCGGTTTCCTTGAGGCTGACACGTCCACTTTTCATGAGCTCAGCCCAGGGTATCGGCGCCATCATCTTCGTCATGAAGTCAGCAAATTGACGATATGTTGGGACCCAACGCATTACCACCACCTTGTTTTCCACTAAATCCTTGCAGATGAGAGGTCAAGGAGCGTCTGTCGCTCTTGTTGGGAGTTGTCCAATGGTGATTATGTGATCGTACAAGGACTTGGCATCCGTGGTCAAATGAACTGGAACGTTGAGCCGGTTCCTCCACTGAGCTGTCACCTGCTGATTCCCTGCCATAAGGATGTGTAGCAGTAAGCGCACATACAGGTGCCTGTCCGCAGCCAGGCACATCGAGCAAGACCACTCGAATGCCCTTTGATGCTGCAAAGTCTGCAACACAGGCGTCAGCTGGACCTTGCTCCACCCTCTTGTCAGCCACGAAATGCATGGCCGCCAGCTGCAACTTCCCTTGATCTTCTTTTCCAAGACTGGCGTCGAAGTAAGTGACCACTGTCATGTCCTTCTCGGGGATCGGTCGATACCAGAGGCGGCCATGTCCGCGTTGAACCTCTTCCTTCATGATGTTCAAGACTTTGATGGCCTCGTTGAATGTGGAAATGGTGGCGTGATTGACCTTCTGGGCCAGACTAGACACCAGGTACAAAACCTGCGGCATAGTGTGCTGAGCTGGCCAACGCATCTTCATAACCAGTCTCCTCAGACTTGTCACGCTCAGGAGACAGAGGAGTGTCAGGTTTCCCCTTCGGAGCATCCGGGGGTTCTATTCCTTGGACATGTTTGTCCATTCTGTCCGTGAAACCATTCTTCTCCTTGTGGAGTCCCAAATTGAGAAGACCATCGTCAACATGAAGGGCGCAAATGGCCCAAGTCTGACCTCCCTCCGAAGCAGGGAAGACACTCCTGGACGCAGCCAGCTCTTTCAAATCTACTTCGCCATGGCCATGCCATCTTTGGCTTCCAAATGCCAAAGGCGCGGGCCCTCAGTGAGTCCATAGGCGCCCTTGAGCACCTGCATCAGCTCCAAAGGCCGGATGGCACGGTACTCACCCACCCGGGGCAAACGGTGGTTGGAGCTCGAACGTAGATCTCCCGCTCCGTGGAGCTCGAAGAATCTTGGACCTTGGGGTCCGAGCTGCTTCATCAGGCTTGAGGAAGCTGGGGCCATTCCTTCTGATCGGCTTTCTCAAAGGCCTCTTGTTCCTCGAGGTTAAAAAAACTTTGGATCCCGCTACCAATGCGGAGTTAGATTGGGCTGGTAGCGACCCAAAGGTTAGAGAAAACACACGGCAGCAGCTGGAAGCAAATCCTTTACATCCAAGTGCAAAAGCTGACTCGGCCGTGTCTTGAGCCACGGCCAGCAAGCGGCACAGTCAAGCCGTACACATGCACAATGCACCACAACACACCAATCCTAGGTTTTCACACCAAAAACAGATGGGGGTAATGAACCAAAACCGTCCCATTCCCATCCATTCTCCATGGCACATCTCGCTTCTGGGTCCAGTGAGGTCTTCTGCTGGCTGCCCGTCATGGCCGTCAACCAGGGACGGTTGTAGTTGCTCATGCGTCTCACCGGATTGCCACTGTTCTGGTACTGGGGCAAGCACTCGGCCTGGCTCTGTGGTTTCGAGCTGTCACAAATAGTTTGGAGAAGCTTTCCCGTTATAGGCATGGGAAAAAAACTGCTTAGATTGTTCTGCTTCGTCAAAAGACATGTTGAAACCAAGTTTTTTTAAACCCATGATGTCGCTCCTAGGGTCAAGTAAGTAACCCCTCTTGTGAAGAAAATATGGGCGACTTTCAATTCCCAAATTGGAATTATTTTACTTCACATGATCCACATCAACTGACATTTTATCTGACGTTCTATCTGACATGTCATCTGGCATTCTATCTCACATATTTTCTGACATCGATTTTGACATTCTCGGACCGTCTATCTGACATACTTTCTGACATTTCATTGGGGGTCGTATCTGGGATATGTTCTGACATTTTTGTGTGGCATTTTGTCTTGCATTCTATCCGAAATTTACGTTCTGACATTTGATCAAACATATGTACTGACATTCCATGTGACAGTTTACCTGGCATCCTATCTGATATGGTTTCTCACATTTGATCTGACATCTACTCTTTCATTCTGTCTGACATATTGCTTGGCATTCTATCGGACATATATTGCGTTCTTGATCTGGCATTTTATCTGGCATTCTATCTGACATATTTCTGCCATATATGTTGATATGTTGATATATTACAGTATCTGACATTCTACCTGGCATTTTATTGGGCATTCTGTTTGACATTTTTTGACATTCTTTGACATTTTATTTCAGATATATTACGACATTACAATATCTGGCATGTTTTCTGGCATACTATCTGACATACTGACATTCTATCAGATATGCATTCTGACATTCCAAGGTGGCATTTCATCTGGTTCTATCAGACATACTTTCTGACATTTGTTCTGACAAATTCTGACAGTTTTCAATTCGACCTAACATGCATATATATAATTAATATTAAATTCTCTCCGGCTGGAATTTCTCGACCCAATCGGGGCCTGAAGCTTCTTCTGCGGCAGCGTCCAAGCCACAGCATCATCATAGCCGGAGGAGCGCCTGAAGGCCCCTTCTCATTTTTTGGGGAAGAAAAAAATGATGGAAACTGGCATAGGTAGAGGTATAATTACCAGTCAAAAAAACCTACATGGCAATCCTGTACCATTGAAATCCAATGAAGGTGCCGCAGCAACTGTGCTTTTGGAAGTGCAAAGATGAAAAAACGAATTTCATCAGCGCCGTTGGCATCAGTTGCAGCCCGAGACTTGTGGTCAACCAATTTATGCATTCCTGGGGTGGGGATGAGAGCAGGCGTAGATTCACTGCCCACTTCACCATGATAACTATACTTGATTTGTCGAAACATGGCATGATAGTGAGTGATAGTGAATGCAATATCCATCCATTGATCCATATCATCCCTTCTACGCACTGGTCTACAATTGGGCTTCCAACTGCCCTGGAAAATCCGTGTCCACATTTTTTTTAACCAACCATTTTTTGGACAATCGAATCAAAAAGAATATTTCATTTGAACCGATAAAGACTCTGGAGGCTTCCCGTTTTTTAAATTCCACTTCCCAATCACATACTTCACTCCCCATCTGGATCCATGACAACCCACGCAAGTTTCCCCCAAAAGTTGGCACCTAATGGGGCTGCGCAACCAATCGTAGAACGCAAACTTTGAGATGCTTGCGGGCGTTTCATCCTCGGTCGCCTTGGGACACCAATAAAAATAGGGCTCCGGATGGGCCCAAGCATTAAGGCATCTGAGATATGAATCAAATGGTTTCCCTAAAATTTGGGAGCCCAATAACAATGTGGGTAACACCATAAACCACTCCCAATTTCACCATTTGTATAGGTGGGATAAACCAGCCATTCCCAGTCATGGTAGTGGTTTTTGGCATTGATTTAACCCAATTATGATTATGCACTCATAATTGTGTCTTCTGAAGTTTTTTTCCCACAGTACCATGTCTTAACCACATGACCATGTTCTATTGCTATACCCCCCACAACCTCCTTGGATCTCCAGGAAAGCCGCTGGCGGGAATTCGAGCACCGGATCCGGGCGCGAGTTGTGACCCTCGGAATCGTACTCCACTGCAAGGATGTAAGTCCTGGGTCCGGCGAAAGTGGTGGTTTTCCGCTACCAGGTCTGCAAAAAGTGTGAAACTCTGTGAAACCAGTCCCATATGCCATGTATATACTGTATGTATATATGTGTATTATATTACATTATATTATATTGTGTTTTATAAAAATATACTATGTTATATTCCATTCTATTGTTAAATTAAGTTGTATTATCCTATGTTATATTATATGATATTATATCATACGTTAAATAATTTACTTTGAATTATGCATTTTAGAATTATATAAAATTATATTGTATTATACCGTGTTAAATTCAAAAAATGATACTATATTGCATGTTGTATTTAAATATTCTGTTCTATTCTGTTATATTAAATTATATTATGTCATTTTATGTTAAAATAAATTATGTTATATTATATTGCGTTATATTATACTATATGTTATTTGAAAATATGTTATGCTATATTAAACAAATTATGTCATATTATATGGTATTGTTACCTTAAGTTATATGATATTATGTTATATTACATGATTTTATATTATATGTAATAATATTGTATATGTTACATTATATGATATTATGCTATGTTAAATGATACTATTTTTGTTAAATATTGCATGTTAAATGACATTATGTTATATAATAGTTTTTCAATATAATATTCTGTTAGTTATACTTTATTGCTTTAAACTAAATTGTATTATATGGATTTAAATGATAGTCTTTTACATTGTATTAATATATATATATATATGTGTGAATCTATATGTATTTATTGTTTATGAATATATTATATATATACATATACATATATATATATTGATTGTATTATTAATAAATATCTATATATATATATAGATATATACCTATTAGATTCTTCCTTCAATGATATGAATATAGAAAATATGATGTGCTTTGTTGAAATCATCCGATTTTCAGGCTAATCCCAGGTGTCGTGCCCTGTCCCCCTTTCAGGGCCAGCGCCCCACCAAGTGATGCCCGCAATATGACTCAGCTTTTCCATGCAACTACAGATATATAGACATAAATATTTTAAAAAATATATATATATATATATACACATATGTCTGTGTTTGATTGTGTTTGAGTATATGTGTTTAATTGTATGTAAAATCTATAAATTAAAATGTGTATGTATGTATATATATATATGTATATATAGAGAGAGAGAGAGAGACATGTCTATAAACCCCTGGTGGCCATTGCTGGGCCTATTCGTTCCTTAACGGCGCCACTTTGGGATGGATCAGCCAAGCCTTGACCCATCTGGGACCATACAGCAATGGTAAATTTACCATCCCACATGCTAGTTGCTTATGACATCGGCTGAATCCCACAACTAGCAAGTCTTCAGAAATTGCCATATATTTCCTGAGTGAATCCCACATCTTCCTTAGTTGGTAGTTGATATTCTCCTCGCAGTGCAGCCTCCACGGCCTCCACGGCTCAACATGTCGAGCCACTCGTAGGTGTCGATCTCAGGAGGCGCCAGAACGTGGACCCTGCGAAAGGCTGGCCGCAGGCTCTGCGCCAGGAAGGGGAGGATGGGATGCACTGGTAGACCGCACCAGCCTTGGGAGATGACTCAGAGGCTGTACCCTTTTTGGTTTAAATATACCATGTGGGTACCATATAATTACTGCACATAATCCGTATAGTTTGTTTCATCAGAATGGGGTTTATCGTGAGCTACAAATATTGGATACCTCCTTTAGAGCCCCTAGTTTAGTAGTGGATCCATGCATTCTTTGGTTTGACATCGGCTCAATAATAGGGTGGATCAGAATGTAGAGATGCTCCTGTTAAACAAAATAAACAATCAGGTGGATATTGTGTCAGGGGTTCATAGAGAGAGAGAGAGAGAGCGGAGGTTCCTCTTGGCAGCAAGTGGATTTTACGGCTGATGTCAACCCCGGGGTGCCCCAAAATAATGATGAACTAGTAAAGTGGTACTCTCCTATGAAGAAACTGCGGGCTTACTAATCCTGAGCACTACACAAAGACATACTGCAACCATCTGTAACCCATAGGTCCTTTGCCACTGGATCAACAGCCTTTATAAGGGCGGTCAATGTAGTGGGGGATGTGGATGACTTTTCCAAGATTTCACCACCGAAATCACAATGTTTTTTGGAACTTCCATCGCCAGGGTGTGCAAAATTATTCTACCCGATGATTCAGAACATCTGGAGCTATGGGAGACGCTTGTAAGATCTTATGCCAAAACCCTCAAATGCTTGGCCACACTCCCTTCGAGATAAGCACGCGGTTGTCTGCTTGATTCCCCTGTAACCCCAAGCGCCTTGCCGACGAGTGCCTTGCCATCTCTGATCACATAGCAGTCCCTGTCGGCCAAGGTGCCCCACAGGTCACACAAGGCCTTTGCTTGGAAGGCAAACCCTTCCAGTGGGACTTCTCGCTTTTCTGCTGCGGCTAAGGCAGCACCAAGCCTTTGGCTGCCGCGCAGAAGGGAGTCTCGGGTGCCCCATCTCAAAGAGTGAGGCACTGGCTCTGGGCATCAAAGCTGGGTGGCCAGTGGAAGGGGGGTGGGTGCAGGTGATATATCCTCTGCCGGGATGCGTCCTGCCCGGAACCTGGGGTCGTCCTCGCATCACCGGTGTGCGAGCATGTGAATGCAATGCGGTTTTTTATCCTCCTTCCAGTTCAAGCTGCAAAGTTTGTGGCCTTGAGCCCCCTTCAGGGGCCTCCATTCTAGTCAGGCTAACGGTGACATAAAGCCCAGGTTCCCACATTCGACGTCAAAATGCACAAAACACACCATGTTCAGACCACTTTTGGAAGTTGAGATGTCGAAAAAGTGCACGCAGTTGTGGCGTGAAGCACAATTCCAAGTCAAAATGCGCAAAGCGCACCAACACCGGACCACTGTTGGAAGTTGACGTGTCGAAAAAGTGCACGCCGTTGTGGCGCGAAGCACGCTTCGAGGTCAAAATGTTAAACACACAACATGTTCGCACCACTTTTGGACGATCAGATGTCGTTTCACGTGGCAGGCGCAAGGGATTGTGCACCTTGTCAAAAGTGAGCAAAACGTGCGGGTTTTGTAGCATTTCCAAAAATGATGGCAGGCGCGGGACATTTGAAGAGGATCTGGAAAGATGCATGTCGCGTGGCAAGCGCAATACAAGAGACATGTTCATCAGAGATGTTAGGAGGTCCGGGCGCTGATTCCCTGAGACGGATTGCATTTTGGAGCATCAGATCTTCAGTTTGGGAAAGATGATTTTGCGTGACAGGTGCAGCACTTCGTATGACCTGGCATCACTTTTTCCGTGGCAGGCGCAGTACTTTAGACAGGTGGAGTGGAAAAATCGCGAAACGCATTGGTACGAGGCCGTCGGCTCTGCACTCAACCTTCCATTTGTGAAGGAATCTCGCGGAATTGTTTCGCTTTTGATGTTGTCAACTTTGAAAGTTGAGGACGTCTCGCAGAATTGTTTCGTGTTTGATGTTCAAAAATTTAGGAAGCCTCGCAGAATTGTTTCGTTTTTGATGTTGTCAATTTCAAAAATTGAGGAAGCCTCGCAGGCTTGTTTCGTTTTTGATGTTGTCAAGTTCAAACATTGAGGAAGTCTCGCAGAATTTTTTCGTTTTTGACGTTGTCAAGTTCGAACATTGAGGAGGTCTCGCAGAATTGCTTCGTTTTCAAGTTTGCAGATTGGCGGTAGGCAGATAGATAGCTAGACATCTACAACTACAACTACAACTACAGCTACCACTACTACTACAACTACAACTACAAATGCAAATAAACTACGCTACATTACACTACACTAATTACACTACACTACACTACACTACACTGCACTGCACTGCACTGCACTACACTACACTAGACTACACTACACTACACTATATAATTACATCTAATTACACTACACTACACTAATTACACTACAACTACTACAACAACAACAACTACTACTACTACGACGACGGCTAAAACAACAATATCAACTACACCACATTACACTACACGTGCAGCACACTACAACTACAAATGCACATGCAACTATGACTACACTACATTACACAACACTACACTACACTACGCTAATTACATGACATTACGCTACAACTACAAGTGCAACTACACTTGTAACTACCACTGGGTTGCGCTACACGACACTGCACTAATTACACTACACCACAATACAACTACAACACCACTACCTTACGCTACACTACACTAGACTACACTATACCACACCATGGTACACTACATCAATTACACCACACCACAACTACAACAACTGCAACTGCAACTACACTACACTTATTACACATTACAACTACAACTCCACTACACCACACTACAACTACAACTACAACTGCGCTACACCACACTACATCCAGAAGTTGTGGGTGAGGTGACCACTGCAACCATTGCAACCACTCCAAAAAAGCAAAACTTCAACCACCTGTCGGTCCATCACTGGATTCGCTCTGCCATCCGTGATTCACAACAACCAACCTCTCCTTTAGGTTTCCTATTTTTGAAACTTCCGCCACCGCCTTGTGCGGTACTACTGGTATATCGGCAATATATCATTAACATATCATTAATATACCATGTAATATATAGATGTTCCCAGCTACAAACCTCCATTTTAGTTCGAGCCCAGCAAAATCCACCCAAAAAAAAACAAAATCATCCAAAAGTCTTCGGTTCCCGATATTCTTAACGGTTGGTCATTACTATTACCATTCACCTATTACCCAAACATTTGCTCATTAAATGATATTTAATCCATTGGCAATTGCCATTCACCCATTACCATTCACCCTACCATTTTCCAACCATTGCTAAATAACCACCTATTACATTCTATTACCAACCATTGGTTCATTAATAAACATCAAGCAAAACATCCACCTGTTACCATTGGTTCATTCAAAACAAAAACATCCCATCCCAACATCCAAGATGCTGATGACCATCACCCCACCAGGCGCCAGGCATTGCAAGGCCTCCGCCAACGCGCCTTGCATCAGCTGCAGCCGCTGCCGCACGCCGCGGCTGCGCGAGACGCCGATTTTGCCCAAGCCGCTGCTGTGCAGAGGCAGATGCGCCTGGGGGGGAGGCAGCGCTTCTGACTCTGGGCTCTTGGGATGAGTTAAGTGGTTAAGTAAAATGATCTTCAATGGGGGATTAGTTCAGGTTAGATTAGTTAAGTGGTTAAGTAACTGGCCAAGAAGTTACTCAAATAATTGATTGAAACCAGTTACTAATATTTACGAACCACTTCACTAATCGCAGGGCCCATCTAAGTATGCCCCATTGAAGAAGCTGATGTCCTATGAAATCCTTCGACTTGAGTTGCCCTTTGGATGTTACATCTAGTTGCCTTCGTAAGTTGGGACCTGTCAAGGATCCAATTAACATAGCAATAGATATATACACATTATATAATATATATATATATATAATCATATATAAAAAAAAATATAATCACACACACATATACATATATATATTATGATATGTATATATATAATTATATAATGATATGTGTATGTATATATATATATATCGACATGTATACATACACATACTATGATATGTATATATTATATTATAGTCATCCTGGAGTAGATAGAATATCGGACATTTTCAAAAAGGATTTTCAAAAAAAAATATATAGTTGGAATATGTTCAAAACCCTCAGTTTTTACACGTTTTTCGTCTTTGCTAAGTCATGTTTAGCCAGTTTTGGACACGTGTCTGGAGAAATTTTGAAAAATACAAAAATCAAACAACACCAAAAAATAGATAGAATATTGTTTCAAACCAGGTAGATCCAGGTAGATAGAATATTTTGAGGGAATTGTGAACACCACGCGCAGTCCCCACAGCAGCTTGAGACCCTCCAAACCATATATATTCCAACTACCAGTTTTCGACCTCCCCGGGGGGGGTCGAAATATTCCAACTACCTATTTTTTTCCAGTGGCCGACATCCAACATAATTCCATCATAAATCCCGCGCCCTCCAAAAAAATATTCTATCTACTTTAGGATCACTATATATATATAACTATATTATGATATGTATATATATATATGTGTGTGTGTACACACACACACACGCGCATGTGGATGCGTATTCATACGTGCAGACATTCATGAACACTTCCCAAAATGGAGAGAAAGAGGCCCTCTCTCCCTGTCGAAGGCAACAACAACCAGCTCTTGGGTCTTTCAGAAAGAGCTACTGCTAGGCCAGGGCGGATGCCTTTTCAACAAGAAGGAGCCCGTCTATTCATATCTTATCGTATCAGACACCTATGGGTCTGGGTTGTGAAAGACCATGCTGAAACATGCTGATCCACTGGGAATTTCAAGACCCGGTGAATGGAGGTACTGCACCATATAAAAGCATATAAAGGCCATATGTTGTGGGTATTTTCCACGGTTTTCCCACATAGCCCTAAAAATAGGGTTGGTATTGCAGCCCCGGACCCTGCCAATCAAGTCGCGAGAGGGGCAGTCCCAACGGCGCTGTTTGCGGGGTTTGGCATCAGGGCTTCTGCCAACCACCTGGAGGAGAAGGCTGGAGATTCAACATGACTTTTGCAACAAGAGAGGAGGAGATTTACAACAAACCAACCACTCTGAATCAGAATAATCATGTAAATCACAACAGCATAACTCTAACTAAGAAATGAGGCACCACCGAAAAATACACGGGATCACGCATTCTATACCGCTCTTAGGGTACCAGGACTGAGCCAATTCCAAAATTGCTTATAGGACAGCTCTTCCGGGCAAGGGACCAGGGATTATTGATTTCCATACTGTGCTGTTGCCATCTCCTCTGTGGCGAAATCCAAGACAAACATTTACCCTCTGGTAATTTAACATAGCTATTGAAAATGGTGATTTATAATGGATTTACCCATTGAAAATGGTGATTTATAATGGATTTACCCATTGAAAATGGTGATTTATAATGGATTTACCCATTGAAAATGGTGATTTATACTGGATTTACCCATTGAAAATGGTGATTTATAATGGATTTACCCATTGAAAATGGTGATTTATAATGGATTTACCCATTGAAAATGGTGATTTATAATGGATTTACCCATTGAAAATGGTGATTTATAATGGATTTACCCATTGAAAATGGTGATTTATAATGGATTTACCCATTGAAAATTGTGATTTTCCATAGTTTTTTGTATGTTTACCAGAGGGTACCCCCACAACTAACATGACGAACCCTGCCGTGAGCCGGGGCTTGGAAGAATCTGTTCCTCTGAAAATCCGCTATTCTCAGTGTGGGAGATGTGACTTGGGGGGACGGGATCGTCATTGTGATCTTCCAAACCCAGATTCCTCGATAGTCTTTCATCATTTTCCCACTGGATAGCTTGAATGCCGTAGTGCCATGTCTTGCCATCCAAATGATTCCGACAGTGCCGCCCGGCTCTGGACTTGATTTATCCCAAAAAAGCCAAGGTCAACAAACACGAACGAGCCAAGGAGTGCATAATTTTCATGGTCATACCCTCCCGCAATCAAACGTGGGAATGGAAAAAAAAACACGAACCAAATGGAGGTTTCTAGCTGGGAAAATCATTGAACTAAAATGGTGGGCTTTTCATTGTTCCATTACCAAAGGGCAGGTGTAGTATGGCCCGGTATGGCTTGGAATCACAGTGGAAGGTTTCTGCTATAAATTACTAGAAACTGACAAAATGTGTGGACACCAAAGCACGAAATTGTGGATCCATACATACCCATACTTTCATCTATTTACAACCTATTTCGGTGTCAAAAAATTGTATACCAATCATCACAAAATATCCCAACATGGTGTTGCTTCAAAAAAATCCATGTGTTTTCAATAGGAAAATCATGAAACATCGCAAACTGATACCCTGCAGTAGAGTAATTTACCGTGCCATGGCTATGGAAGCCATGGCCCATTTATGGGCGATTAAGAATGGTGATGATCCATAGCTATGGATAGCTATGCCATAGCTTGGATAGTTATGGTAATTTATGGATATTTATGGATATTTATGGTACTTTTTCAGATGGCAAATATCAGTCTGGGTAAATCACAACAAGCCACCAACCTTCACAATTTCGGCTATGAATTGGGATAGTTACCCCTTACCGTACTAACCATCATTTTAGTGAGGTCACTCCCATTGGAGGCTTCCTAAAATGGGGATACCCCAATAGCTGGATGGTTTATTTCATGGAAAATCCCTTTTCGAAAATCCCTTTTCGAAAGATCATTGGGATCACCGGAAAGGCACCACCATTCCAGCTATTTCCATGGGATTTTCCATGGGATTTTCAATGGATCATGGGGAACCCCTCTTTTCAATGGGAATTTCAGGATCCTAAAATGGAGGTACTGTACCATATAAGGCCATATTTTCTGGGGATTTTCCCTTACATAGGCCTTATATGGGCCTTATATGTGGTAGGTACCTCCAATTTAGGTTCCTGAAATGGCCATTGATCTTTTATCCCCATCCCCAGCTGCTCCCAGGTACTGCGGCATTCCCCCACGGGAGCTACGACTCGAGCTGCAGGAGCTACGGCTCGAGCTGCGCTGCCGGACCTGAACAGCAGCACCCCGATGTGGTGTCCCTATGATGGGGGTTATAAAATGTTATAAGATGGTTGAAGTATTTACAAGTTATAACCATTATAAACCAACTTTTTGTCCAGATCCAATCAGACGATCACCAGTTTCCATCATTTTCCCATGAAAAACATTGAAAAATCAATCTGGATGAACACCTAAAAAAAAGTTATTCGTCTGCGGAAATCAATCTGAGTGAGCACCTTACTCAGATTGTGGGGATGATTCAGATTTGCCTGAAAAACAAAGGATGGACCGCCGATGGCCATTGAAACAGGTTGCGAAATGATTTCCTAAACCAGGGATTCCTGGGTCATGATCCAAATTCAGCATCATTTACGGTCAGGTTGGGACGCGACATTTAGGCCCGAATGATGGCATGCCATTTGCTAGAAATAGTTCGCCATTCCATCCAGAAAAAATGAAAGCCATCTGTCTCTCCCCTTTCCATGGAAGTATATAAGCAAAAGATTGGGTCAAACCCCCGACCCAAACAAAGTGGATCGAAACCAACTGGATTCACTAAATGGACCATCAAAAGCCCCATCAAATCCATCAAAATGAATTTCCTACTGAAATACTTCTGTTTTCATCTGTTTGCCATATGTTTCTCAGCTTTGTAGGCACAAAGAACGATGCGTCCGAATTCAAGTCCCCATTTTTCCTGATCAATGAAGCCCCCATCAACCCTGCGGCTGGTGAAATCCCCATACCCTCTGGTAAACATACAAAAAACTATGGAAAATCACCATTTTTAATGGGAAAATCCACTAATAAATGGCCATTTTCAATAGCTATGTTTGACATAACCAGAGGGTATATCATCCCAAGCCATCCCAAGCCATCCCAAGCCTCCTCCGGCCCCATGGGGAGGTCCTCCAGCTCCACATCCTCCACATCCTCCAGCTCTGCGTCCGCTTCCTCCGACGCGTGGCCCCTGGCCTCAGCATCGAAACCATGCGGGATCTGGTGGATGAAATCACTACTGGGCGGTATGAACTTATAACGGGGGAATCCATCCATGTCCATCCCAAAAGTGTAGATCACACATATTGCACTGGTGACGAAATTCGGATAGATTGGCAAGGACATCCGAATTCGGCAATGATCTTCCAGGTCTATTTTTGGTGTCAAAATCTCAGTCCCTGACGCGGACTTCAAAGTTGACCATCGGCTGAGTCGACTGAGCCATCTAGCCATCAATAGCCATCGCCACATACCCCCATCCAATGACCAAGACAGAACAGAAACTCCTGTATCTCGGCAAATTACAACTCCCGAATCCGATATGAACCATTTTTGGGATGATTCATGATGATTTCCCCGACGAAAAGCTTGGCCAGTGTGACTGCGGCACATTTTACCCAGCCCCTATTCCCAACCAAAACCTGTACCAGGAAGAAAAACACAGCAATCAAACTTCAAAAACTCATTGAGAATGTCTGGCCCTCAAGAATGGGTAATTCATGGGAAATCCACAACTCGCCAAAAGCTTGAGCAAACATGATGGTATTCACCTCCATTGTTGGCCCCAACATGTGGCTATCTGCTCTTACAAGTACTAACCAATCTTGGTGGCTTGTTGACCTGCAAAAAGTCGAACTTTTCGTTGATCATGGTGGAAGCACTACAAGATACTACAAGTAGTGCTTCAGTGTATGCCAATCCCATCCAACCTCCATCTCCAACCATCTCCAATCCGATAACGGTCCCAGGTGCTAGTGAGAATGACAGGTCCACCACTGCTAGGGGATACCCAGGTGGTCCATCAAGACTGCCAGCTTTGGGCAGGTGCTGAAATGAGGTGGTGGGTGGCTGACGGACCACTTTCCTGGCGGATGATCGGGATGATCGGGATGATCGGGATGATCGGGATGATCGGGATGATCACATCACCATGACATAAAAATCACCATTTAACCAGCACATACCAAAACAAAAAATCACCATTTTGACACGAAAAATTAAGGTCAAAATGGAGATGTGATGGCAAAAGAATGGATTTTGCTCGAGGTTTTGCCAACAGGAATAAGGGATGACAGCCTGAGTTCGGGTCTGAGTACTGGTCCAAGTTTTCACAGGCCCCAAGGAACCCATTTCATCCCATTTCCAATCTGTTCCAGTCCATGGATACCATGTTGAAGCTCAGTTTATGGCAACTTAAGCAGAACTGTCTTTAGGATGGGATTGAAAAGATGGCCAATGGCAACTCGCTTGAAGGGAAAACTTGCAAAAGAAGAACCCTATGATATCATATAATTAGCCTCTGGTTCTGAACAACATTGTAACACATGGTCATGGACAATTGCCCATTTCTAGATGATTTATGATGATTTATGATGAATTTATCTCTTAAAGTCTTAAAACTTGTGTTTTTTCCATAGCTGTCCGTTAGTTTACCAGAAGCTAAAATTGAAGAAATTGAAGACCCAAGGCTTCCTGATGAGTTTTGGTGAAATCCTCCATTTCTGTCTGAAAAAGGGTGGAAAAACATGGGGAAAAAGGTGGATTTCCAAGGGGAAAACTCCCGGCCATTTCTTCCAAAGATCCAACTTCGATTGTGAAAGAACTCCAATAGCTCGCGCCGGGGCGTTCCCGTGCAAATGTAGAGATATTCCCCTTGGCACATGCATTTTCACCCACTGATGTGGGCCTTGTTGCTTTGTAGAGATATGGTTTTGTCTGGAAAAAGGATATGTGGAACATGCATAGTGAATCCCATAATCCACGGGTGAATCAGCATGCATCACTTTTGGCCAAACCCATATGCATGAATCCTCTACTGTGGATATGAATTAATTTAGTATATGTACATGTTGTAATACGGTATGTTATATGCATGTACGCTCTTGATTCTTGTATCCACACGTCTCAGCAACATAATTAGAGCCAAAGGCCATCGTATCTTGGAAGCCGTTTCCAAATAAAACAGGTCAAGAACACAGCAATCCATCTCAACCGGACTGAATTCCTATTGCCCCCAGCCCTTGCAATTGACAAAGACATTACGGCATTACGGAAGTGGCTTACTCTGTTCAATCCCCAACATGTCCCCATTGTACAGGGTTGCTCCAACCCATCATAGGCAAATGTTTCAAATGATAGCAAGTGTCAGCCACGTTTGGAGGAAAAAATGGACAACGTTACCTCTTCATCTACCCAGTTTCCCCCTTCGTATCTTAGAGTCCTGGAACAATCCTGCATATTTTTTTTGGGATTAGCTACTATAAATCATGTTAAATCCCATTTGCAGCTTGTGAAATCCCAATTCACATGATATTTACTGTTGATTACCATCCGGTAATCAAACATGACCTTGGGAAAACGCCTATTTACTTCGATGATTTTCCGATTTCATTCAAGACACATCCATCCAACTATAGTAGTTCGGCAGATTTTCCCAGCTAGCCATGTTGAATTCTCAGTTGGATCTATCTTTCGAGAATTTTCCCAGCCCTGTTGGATGATCAGGGCCCATCAACCATCAACACCCCCATGGTTTTCTTGCCGAAATGATTAGGTAGAAAGTCTTGGGGCCCTACTTGGATCACTTAAATATAGATTAGTGGCTAGATAGCGGCTGATAAGCGCAATTAAAATACCAAGACCGATATATATATATATATACCTAGATGTCTTGTTTTGCTTACAAATAAGACTATGCAAGAAGCTGCAGTACGTGGTTTCAGCTAGGTTAAGGTCTTCACTTCATCCTGGGCAGAAACTCTGACTTACTTAGCTTGATATAGCCTTTCTACTCATGTGCCAAAAAAATGGAAGACAAATATGTCCCACTCCTTTCAAATCAATTTCCTGAATCCTGATTGTGGCAGCCCTGAAAATACCAAATTTTGTAAAAAAAAAAAATATCTCATCTCATGAGAGTCTTGAACCGTGAAGTTGCGCACAATGAAAAAGGCTACATTGCCACAAAGCCACTAATACTCGTCGACATGCAAATCAGACATCTCCCAAGATACCCCCCAGGGCCCGCAAAAAAAACCACTTAAAAATGATCTGAAATGTCCATTCATCACCAGAAAATCCACCAGATACCCTCTGGTAATTTAACATAACTATGGAAAATCACCATTTTTCATGGGAAAATCCACTATAAATGGTCATTTTCCATAGTTACGTTAGTCATTACCAGAGGGTACCCCCATTTTCTTCGCATCTCCAGCTCCAGAACCCCCTGCCGAGCCAGATCCCAAGACACTCAGCGCGTTGCTCTGCTGCCGCTTCGCCTGAGCTGCGAAAGCCACGGTGAGTTCCATCATGCGCCTCCACAGGGGCTCCGCGTCGGTCATCAGACGGTCAAAGACCTTGTCGTCCTGCGCAAATCTGAGATCCAGATCTTTATACAAGAAATTCTCGGATCAATATTATATATATATACATATAAACATATATATATATGTATACATATATATATATATAGATATATATATAGATATATATATATATAGATATATATATATATATGTATATAATATATATATATATATGTATTGGGTTACAAATGGGAAAACAATAGTAATATTCTAACATGATCTGATATGATGTGATATGATGTGGTGTGATATGATATGATATGATAACTATAGTTGTATGAGTATATGTCAAATACCATCTGAGATCATAATGATTTAAAATATCATATGATTCTAGTGATAAAAAAATGATAGGTAACTACAGTTTAGCATATATTGATGGCATAATAATATAGTAGAAGTAAATTAAACGGTATATCATTATATAATAACTATATGATGAATAGATATTACAGTTATCATATACCATTAAGTAACTACAGTTTATCATATATTCATAGTTACCAATAGGAAAACAATAATGATATTATAACTTATAACTATAGTTGTACAATCAGAAGTATATGTCATATGGTATCTGAGATTGGTATCTGAGAATTTTGAGCACATATGCAAATGGGAAATAATAATGGTATGAAAACTGGTTGGCGATAGTTATTATATAGACATAAGTATACAGTAATATACGATAGCTACGGCGCTATGCTGCATGATATTATATATGATATATCATCTTGGTATGGATATAATCATGAGAATAGACTGAATGTGTAGTATATAAATAATATAACCAATGGGAATAATAAGTACACATACATAATAATTTTTATTGAGTATATAAACAATAAGTATATCCTTGTGTACTTGTTATTATATGATGCCGTGTACGATATCATAATATCAAAAAATCAGTAGATAATAATCGACCAACTAAGAGTGGTTAAACAACTAAGGATTACTATACTATATAAACAACTATCGGTTGAGAATAATGATCGTGGATAATAAATTAAACATAAGTAAATATAATTATATAAATATAAGAAAGCAACTGGGAATATCATGGATAATCCTGGGGCACTGGGAAATTTAATTGGAGAATCATGGGGTATATGTATATTATATATATATATATTATATGTTATTATCATATTATATTAAAATATTCTGTTTTATGTTATATATATATATATAACTGATGATTAATGGATGTAATCATGTTGAGAATCACCCAAACAAGGATCGTCTACCTGGGATCGGATGATCCTCCAAGCACTCGTTGATTTCACCAAACATCGTGAGTCTTGCACCCTTGCACCCCTAAAAATTAATGAAATTTCTGTTGATTTCAACACTGGAAAAACATGTTGGTTGATCATCGATGAAATTGTTGGTTCAACACTGGAAAAACCATGTTCAGCCAACAACGAACAAAAATCCATGATTTTACCGTTGATTTTCCATGATTTTCCTATGTTTTTCCGATGTTTTTTCAGCCTAATTCAGCCTGGGAGTTTCGAGCCAAAACAGCCACCGCGACGAACGGTCGGTTCACTCCTGCAGGTAGATCGACTGCATGGGCTTCCGCAAAAACTCCTGCCAGTTCTCGTCACTGAGATTTCGTGCAGCCTGCGCCTCAAGATCAAAGCCCAACAGAAATTGCAACGACCAAAATGCCCTTCAGAAACCTAAAAATAAAGGTAAGGAGAGAAAGGTATAGAAGGGTGGCATCTTCCAAGCTACGTTTGGATCTTAGAAATGTCGCTTGAAATGTCGCTTGAAATGTCGTGTGTCTTAGGTGCACCGGCATGGGCTCAGCCTCAAATGACTTCCAAAAAGATGGTGGGCTAGATGGTTCTGGGGCCGTAGGTGCTACTACAGAAAAGATCAATCGACATATGTTTTAAACAACTCCGGCGAATGCCAACGAACCCCATTCGAAACCAGACACCAGCACGGCGCGGTAGCGTTGGAGCCCAGCAGAACGACAGGACAACATGTCATAGACTTCGTCCACCAGGGGCAGCGCGTCTAGAATGAGGTCCTGCGACCCCAAGCAATGATGGCATGTGCATGGCATGTGCATGGCATGTGCCTGAAGGCTTCCCCATGGTGGGGACTTAAACATCCCTCTTTGCTGGTGAAACAATGCTTGGGGCGAAAAGATTGGCCCTGTCCACTGGGATTATCGTCATGTCTCATAGTGTCCCAACCCTGGCTGCCATTTTTACCTACGATTTGGAGATGATTGAAATCCCACCTATTCAAATGATAATGACTTGGGGATGGTTCATTATGGGATTTACAATATTGCTTGATATCATGTCATGTCAACCGCAGTCATAGGAACGATGGCATGCTGAAGAACATTTTTATATGACATCACCTGGAATGAGCAGAAATCTGGCGACAATGAGATGATGTCCCCTGCCATGGCTATCCAAGTCGCACCCTGTGCAACCCAAACGGAACAAACGGGACGTCGCTGGACGTCGCACGGCAATGTGTATCACTTCAGCCCAGTGACAAATAATTCTCAGGGGAAAATTGGAGAATCCTCGAAATTCTCAGAAGAAACATCACCCCCCTGGGGCTCCTTCAAGCCATCCAGGGTTCCCGCTTCATTGAGCCTCTCATGCTGCTGCTGATCCAATTGCCGTTGGCGTTCCACCTCATCCTCCTCGTTGGACCTCAAGCATGAGGACCCCCTGAAAATCAGTCAAAATCTCACGTGGAAGCCAAAGGATTGCCAAAGCTGGTTGGAAAGTAAGATGACTTAGAGTTCGTGTCCGAGACCTACTTCATATTTTTGGGATTTTGATCGCCAAGCTCAAACTTGACTGGGGCTATCTGGGGCTGCTATGGGCTGCTTGCCCCATTGCCATACGGAAGCATGAACAGGGGCAACTGCTGTGAGACCCACTCGAGACTCTCCTCACCTGAACTTCAAACTTCCTCACCCACACCACTAGATGTGCAGTTGGCATTTCCCCCACCCACTGACAGTTGGAGACTGGAGCTCAAACCCGGAAAATGAAGCCCACAGAGGGGGTTCTACTGAATCATATTAAATCAATTAAAGCTAATGCAGGACTCATGCATATACCCTCTGGTAAACTAACATAACTATGGAAAATCACCGTTGTCAATGGGAAAATCCACTATAAATGGTCATTTTCAATAGCTATGTTAAATTACCAGAGGGTAATTGGCATATCAATGTATATCATATTATTTTTTGATAATTTTTGGATCATATATTGGTCATATTAGATCCATTCCGCCTCAAAACATGGGGTACCAGGGCAACTGCCGAGACACTCCTCATCCATGTTGTCGGCCTCCCACCATGCCATGCCGCCACGACCCTTGGGACCCTTGGGACCCTTGAGCCCATCGTCGCGACGTGAGGATGGAAGGTTTCATGGTTTAAACCCATGGTCTTTACAGCCCAATACCAGGGAGGTTCCTACAATAATTCTCATACCATCTTTTGGAAAAATGATGAAAAATGTGCATGGCATCACGTGGCCAGTCCAGGGAGAGGCACTATCAGATGGTTGTCCTGACCCGCGAAAAAAATATGATGGGTTTGGGCAGCATAGGACATACCCAAAATACACCAAAATACACTTGGATGTTACCTAAAATAGGGATACCCCCACATCATCCAAATTAGACCATTTTAGTATTTCGTATTGAAGCCCATGGTTTTGGGGTACCCGCATGTTAGGTAGGAAACCACCATTTGTTTGCACTATATAAATGCAACCGTCAGGTCACAACGAGCGGTGGGAATTGTGACCATCCACCGGCAATTTGCAGTCTTTCCCCTGGTCTTCCCCCAATTCAACTTCAAGATGAAACATATTAAACCTATTATTTTGTCATGTCCAACTTCCAAACAACACCTATTATCACCTATTATGACCTATTGTTTATGTGAGGTTTTTTTTAGCACCCAACGTGCGTCAAAAATCCTCTGACCCATGGGATTCCACCAATTTTTTCTCCCTAAAATGCCATCATGTGGGTAAAACAATGCCATAAACTTACCAACCATAAAAATGGGAATGGTAAGTTTATACATAAACCAACCATGACTGGGAATGGTAAGTTTGAATCCCACCTATATCCACCTATATATAAGAATGCCAGTCTGACTGGGGGATGGTAAACATGAAATTCTTTTACCCACAAGGATTATGAAGGACTCATAGCGGATTTCCATGGATTTCGGCTCCGCCAGAAAAGGCGCAACGCGGCGCAACGCCTGCGCTTTGCCCACTCCCGTGGAGTCAGACAACAACTTGTCAGCGGCCGCAACCGCCAATTGCGAGACCTGAAGGGTCATCTGCTTTTTCACATAGTACTTATAGATGATGTATGATGACATTACCATCTGGTTATGACCAACGGTTTGCCATGAAAAATCACCATGTTTAATAGGTAAACCATCTATTTCTATCTATTTCTATGGGCCTTCCATGACAAACTGTTAGTCATAACCAGAGGGTAATTCGAAACCAGCCTTGGCAATCTTTGACTCCTGGCGCACGTTGGGCATATTCGAAAGTAAGGCTTGGAATCGCCATTGGAGTTGGATCTCACTAGCTATATTAATCTATATTATAATGAGAAATATATATATATACAATACATATGTATATATATGTGTATATATATATATGTATATATATATATGTATATATATTAAGGGTATGTATATGTATATGTATATATATATAATTAATGGGATATATCAAATTATGGTAATATGAAGGAGATATATATTCTTCAGGTGCCCCAAAATCCAATGGTTCATCATCAGTCTCTCACAGTGCCTGCCCGACTTGGCTCCATGGCGTGCTGGAAAATCCCAATGAGTTCAATGAGGTCGATTCGATTTTCCCATGGTGTTTTTCCTCAAGACTAGCATTATATATATATACATATATAGATATATAGATACAAACATACATACATATATATATAGATATATAGATATATAGATATAGATACAAACATACATACATATATATATATATAGATATATAGATATATAGATATGGCTAGGCTCTGGGGATTTCCCAGCCATGTGAAATCACTGCAGATTTCAACCACCAAAAATATCTGGCCTTGTCGGAGCCAAAGTAGTAGTCCTCCAGATCGACCAACTCCTGTGAAGATGTGACCATTCCTAGTTGACTATTTGGTTGTTGAGATGTGTTCAAATCATGTCTCATAGCAACAAATAGGGTTCTCCCCAAATTGAAGATGTGACATGATGTGACAATGTGAATGGGGAAGACTTCCCAGCATGGATGCTTACCAGTATAATGGCATCCAACATAAGCCTTTACGAAGGCTCCAAAGACGTTTCACACCAAGCACATCAAGCCGATCAAGTCCAACAGGTATGGGCTATCCATTGGGTACTTCAATGACCAAACTATGTCAAACTATTTTGGCCATAAATTGAGGATATATACATATATATATATATGTATATATATATACCGAGTGGTTCATGCGGAAAGACCTGTTTCATGCTTTGAAGATCTCACGATCGGATGAGTTGTTGCAAGACGTGAAAATCTGTGAGTGTATGGTTGTGCTTTAAAAAAATTGGGCACCCCCCAACTTTGATGTTTCATTCTCATTTGCCCTATCAGACCCTATCAACATTGAAAAACGACCATCTTTGGGGGTTTGACCCCATGATTCATCCCCATGTTAAGACATTTCACCATGAAAATCGCCACCCACAGGTGGCCCTGGCTGCCTCTGCCTCTGCCCAACCGTCCTGTACCAGATGCCCAACCCAGGTGAACAACTCCTGTGAACGCGGCCAGGATTTCGTCAAGAAAAAATTCACTGGAAACGTGGTGTCTTTATCTGCCGGATTATGTACTTACTATACACATACCTCGTACATGTACAAATATATATATATATAATTATATATATATATTATATATATCTATATATATATATCTATATTATATATATATCATTTAAACATGAGTTTCCATGATAAATCAATAACTATGATTCTCCATCAGGGGCATGAATGTTTGTTCGCTTCACCTGCTATTTAGGGTTGTTATTACAAGGGTCGCACAGTTTTAACCGATGATCCAACGTGGAATGGATGGCACCAGAAGGTAAGTGACTCCAGTGGTGCATGGAGAAAAAACAACGGAAAACATAGTTATTTAGTATATGTTCGTATCCTTTGGGTTTGTTTGACCAAAAATCTGCCCTAACAATTGGGCTGCAAGATTTTGGACATGATACATCTGGCCCGGGTGAGAAATCTAGAAATCTCGACGACGGACAAGGCTGAGACACCTGAAGTTGCCAAAAAAAAATCAGCTGAATCTCAGGCTTTAGCAGTCGATTATCATCCTGAATACCATCCCCCTAACATGAAGTACCACCTAATTTCCCAGTAATAAACTCGATGGTAAATCACTGAAGGAAGTTTAGAAGTCAAACTTCCGACAATATGGACAGATGAAAAGCAGAGATGGGAAGAGTCAGAGAAGAGAAGAGAAGAATAAAGAAGATCAAAAAAGAGAATGTCTCAGAAGAAAGAAGATCCAGGCGCGGGAAAAGGTAGGAAAGAAGCATAAAGAAGCGAACCATTGTGTTTTTCCAATGGCTTGTGGCTCCGGGGTCGAAAATAGGCTCGCCAAGAAATCCCTGTCAATGGATTGGTTTAAGGGAACATCTTAACCCGAAACCATAGATTTTCCGACTAAACCATGGTGCTTTCCTGTAAATTTTCCCGTAAACCGATCCATTGAGCCTGTCACCATCTGTCCTCGGTGCTTTCCGGCGGCGCCTGCAGGCTGGCCGTGCCGTAGCCGCCTTTGCCCTGGCGATGACGATGGCGTTTTATGATTTTACTGATATGATACTGGCTATGTCGTGAGATAGTTTAATATATAGTTAATATGATATTATATCTGCATTATATCATATCATCGGTTTAAAAATTCTGAAATCATATCATTAAAGAATGATATGATGTTATTCTATCAGTAATATGGTATACGGTATACGATAAATACCCTCTGGTAATTTAACGTAGCTATTGAAAGATCCACCATTTTTGATGGGAAAATCCACTATATTATACTATAAATCACCATTTTCAATAGCTATTTTGACATAACCAGAGGGTATATGTCCAAAAAAAATCCCGGGGTCTGATGTCGAAGATACCCCGCAAAGACTGAGGCCGCGCACCTTCATCCTCAACCTTGCAGCCGGCCGCAAGGTGGTCGTACCAGCCACAAATATCTGGCAAAACGCACCCCAACATATGTTTTTGGGGGTCAAGAATAGCGAAGAAATTCTATGTCATCAATGAATCAATCAACATTTCGGAGGAAAACGATATCAATGTCATTAAATGTCCCAAGGTGTTCCAAGTCCAAAGGCTGCTTATCACAGCATCGCCTCCCAGCGACCGGATCAGCTATGCGCCTGCAGTTTGGGTCACAAGATGTGACGGAAAATGGAAGGTTGACCCAGAAAATGTAGCAAATGAAGAGGAAAATGTTGGTCTCCATCTCTCTCTCTCTCTCTCTATCTATCTGTCTGCCCGTCCAAATTTGTTTATCTCTCTCTCTCTCCCTGTCCATCACCTTCAGACCAGGACTTAGAGGCACATAATGCATTGACATATGGATAGCATATTTTCAGACAAAGCCAGATGGCAGCTTCCATGCAAAAACATATGAGACCTAGCTTCAATAGAGAAACAATGCTGGAACGCAACGGGCCTTCCTTTTGCACCACCAAACGAATAGGGGTTCTGCTAGGAGAGTAGCGTTACATGTGGAAGATTCATGTACAGGGACGGGGGCGCATTTGCCCTCACAGGATTGAGCTAACAATCGATGACCTTGTAACATTCACATCCCCTTGGACCAGTTTCTCAGCTCCCGACGCGTGTCCATCATGCACAAAAAGCGTTGGAAAAGTTCCTGTACAAAGCACCTGTGTTGTTGCTGTTCCTCCACCACTGCTGCCACATGTAGATCCTAGATCAACCCAGCAGTTCCAGAGATGCTCAATGGTTTAGCTCCTGGAACCCAAGTCATTCCGTTTTCGGCTATGATTGCCTTGCGGCCTATTCGACTGCAGCTCCTGCGTTTTCGCCAAGTTGTCGCGTTGTGTGAATTCTGAGCCACGGTGACGTCAGTGCATTGGACAGCCCTCTGCCCAAATGACCAAACCAACCACGACCAAACTTAAGCGCCACAATCCTACATATAAAAAAACCCATCACCACCAGGCTTTTGGCGTTTCAAACTGGGACATGAAGTCCCCAACACCGATTCCCACATAGTTGTGGCAAAAAAAAGAAACTGTGCAACTACTCGAAACCGCCATATCATTGACCAAACCTATCTGTTCACCCAGCAAGGAGGGGAAAAAAAAAACTCTGATACTGAACACTAGTGAACGCCAAAAAGTGAAACTAAAGATAAAAATAAATAAATAAATAGATAGATAGATAGATAATAGATGATCACAATAATAATTAATAATAATAATGATAGTAAAAAACAAATCATAAACAAATAATAAACAAATAATCATGGCTCTGCAAAGCATTCTTTTTCTTGCGCCACTGCAGTAGCACGTCATCCACAAAAGAACTGCACACCAAAGCCCTGCAGCTACGGGGCAGCGCGCCCCGACCGCGTCACGGATCGGCGATGCAAAAGGGAGTTGTGGCCAGTGACTGTATGAGGTCGGAGGCGGTGTCGCATACGTATCTCCAAGATATCATCCAAGAGGCATTACCTTGAAGCCTATGTGGAATGCGTTTGGATTTCTGATATTTCTGGAACATGTTGGGTCCAACTACCCAACATGGTGGAATCGAACATGGCAAGCTGGTAAATCCTCGAACTAATGGTTTAAAGGGAAAATCATCCAACTAAATGTGGGACCCACTGAGACGTTCAAAAGGTACCAGGAGAGGGAGGGAAAAAAAACACTACAAATGTCGGGGTCGAGGAAATAAAGTGTATCACCTCATTTGAGGTTACATCAGTTGCATCACTTTGAATATATATATATATATAGGGTTTCCATTGCTCATTGGGTTGGTTCAGGGAAACTTACGGGACACCATGTCTTTGTCCCTTTAGAAAGAGGGTTTCCATGGGTTTCCTGATTTTTTCCCATTCCAATTCCGGGAGTTGCCGATCACACCATCACCTTGCGAGCAATGCCACGAGGCGTTCAGAACCTTCGGACACTTTCACGCCAGTAGCCCCCCCTAGCAGCCATAGCAAACCTAAGAAATAGATCTGTGCTACCCTGCACTACTCTGAAAATTATCAGTGTTTTTTTGACATCTGTTCATCATGCATCAGGTGGCTTACCCTATGGTAAACTAACAGTTTGTTATCGAAAATCACCATTATTCAGAGCTAATTCAACTATTTCTATGGCCATTTTCAATAGCAAACTGTAACAAATTACCAGAGGGCATTCCATCCTGGCAATCGACGCGGAGCGGGATGTATCATCCGCAGCAACCCTCAATCAACTAGGATTTTAAGTAGGATTGCAAGAACATATTAGGCATTCGATAAATATGATATCTATATCTAATTATGTAAGTATGATTCAGTATGATCAATAATCTGAAAATATCCAAAAATCAACGTTGACATCAAGTGAAACTATTCCTACGGCCACCATCTGAGAAGGGCATCGTTTTTTCGCGAAGATGCTACGGGGCAGTCTGGATCGTCCGAAGCTTTGCATGGAAAACTACTCCCAGTGCAGGTGCGATGCGCGGAGCCAATGTGCCAATTTCATTAGGACTTACTGGAGGGTACCCTCTGGTAAACTACCATGGCTATGAAAATCACCATGATGCATAGGTAAATTTATCCAGAAATATTTTCAAGCACTTTCAAGGCATTTCATCCAGAAATTGGACTCTTTACCATAGTTTACCGGAGGGTAACTTGAAAGGCCAAATGCCCATCACACAGATCGTATGTGGGGAAGTATCCAGTATTTTTGACCAGAAGAATTTTCTCGGCTTACCATGTGCCTGAAAGCATTGGGGCGAAAGCGAAATGAGCTGACAGCTGCATAGTCCTAGCTCACCTTTAGGGTCCCAACAATTCTTGGAAAACAAGTGCTTTTTTCATTTGTTTATCACGTTCAGGTTCATGAGCCATCGAATTATTTCTACGGTGTGCAAATCTGCGGGTCTATCTGGGCCAGTGGAAGTCTTTGTAAGTCTTCATGTTCAGGCTATGTGATCAGCGGCCAGGTCTTTCTTTGATCTGTAGATTCTAGATGTGGAACAGTAACAGGCAGTGAATGTAAAACAATGTGCCTGTCTTGACAAAAGAAGGCGATACCCTGCAATATACATGCCGTTTACTATCTGACGCTGTCCTGTTATATCTGTTATTATATTGGTGGATCTGACAAAAGGCCGCAAAAAAAAAAACACAAGTGTCTCAGTGTCTCCATTAAAATTGTCATTTGTGCAGGGGAACATATAATATCATACAATTAGTTACGACATTTTCAGACACACCATGACACACCCATAGTTCATCATATTTCTATGAATGCTGCGAGGCATTGAGTGAGATCCGCCCTTTCCCTGCACTGTCTCACTGTGAAACGCGCACGTTTTCGGCTACACTCCGTCTTGAAGGGTCATGGATGCAACCAAGATTTCATCTCACCCACTACGGTAAAGACCTGGAAAAAGACAGATCGTACCTTCACATCTGGTAGAATTACTAATTATATACATCTGATTACTACATGCCATGCCTGGCAATTAGTGTACATCGGTAGAAGAAGGGAAACCCTATGCCCTATGCCCCACGTCAAACAGTAGAGTGACTATGTTGCTATTCTGCGTGCATCACAGGAAGTCCATGCTAGATAGATTCTTCAGACGTACATTGCGCCCCTCGAGTCAATTTGAAGTAACAGCCTGTGAGGGTCTGAAATTTTGGGGAAAATCCCATGAAAATCCATGAAATTCCTCAGCTGGCCATTGGGTGGCAAATCCTGTCCCAATCGGGGGAAACTAAAAAAAACATGAAAAACCTGCCCTGTCCTGGGGGCAAAAACTTGGGGGATTTGGAATGCAAACGTCGGCAAAACGAGAATCTCACAGCCCATGTTTCATAGGCATGGCATTCATCTCTGCGAATGTAGTAGCTGAGATTGTTGGAGACCCTTGACTGACTTCGTGGGCCATGATACCATGTCATCGTAGCAGGACGGACTACCAGGACGCGTTGCATTCTGCAAAGCCCTGCAATCCGGTCTTGCGAGCACCACTGGAGGTGGGGTGTGGCAATGCAGCGCTGGGCCCAGGTCAGCAATCTGGAGATATCTGAAAAATATGACCTGCTTCTGGGAACCCAGTTGGGTCCACAAATTCGTCTGAAAAAGCATCCCACTCCACCAATCCATGGAATCCTCCGTCACCGCGCTGTTGAGACAGCCTGAAATCGCTGACCACGTCTTCCAGACTTTGATTTCTACAGGGCACCATGTTTGATGCGGGAAAAACTGGGGGGTATTTCTGGGGATGATCCCGGAAACACCAATCCATTGACCATCTGATTTCACTCAAACTATTCTCCCCATGCCACTAATCCCGTCCCCCTATTACTAACCCCCCCAAACTAGACGACGGTTGGCCCGAGAGCGAAAAAGATGTTTTTCAAGCAGCTCTGAGGATGGTAGTCGTAAAAGATAGTCGGTGAATAGTTGGTGAATTTTATATGAGCTATGGAAAGATATGGTGTGAAAAAGTAAGATTGATCAAGAAGAGAATATTTGGTAAAGGGCATCAGATGACATGTGTCTTGCAACCACAGAGAGAAAGAGGGGGCAGAGATAAAGAGAGAGAGAGAGAGAAAGAGAGAGAGAGAGAGAGAAAGAGAAAGCAAGAGAGAGAGAGAGAGAGAATGAAAGGGGGAGGTAGAAAGAAAACATGGAGAAATGTAATGTGAGCAACAAAAGTGCACAGGAGGCTCGGTACCATGAGTCTGCGAATGACATGTGCTATCTCATTTTATTATGGTAATTCCCACACACATTGCGGAAAAAGGCTCGGCACCATCATTCCGTGAACGCGAAGAAACGCGAAGCTTTTATACAGAGACGCTTTTACACACAGAATCTTTTACACATTATCATAAACACTTTTACGCACAGACGCTTTCACACAGAGACGTTTTTCATGCACACACACAGACGCATTTCCACACAGAGACTTTTACACAAAAACACTTTAACACACAGACGCTTTTATACACAGACACTTTTACACACATACGCTTTTACATGCAGATGCCTTTTTACAGACGCGCACATACTTTCACACACAAACGCTTTTACACACAGACGCTTTTGCACACAGACACAGACGCTTTTCCACACAGACCCTTTTACACACAGACGCTTTTACACACAAACACTTTTACACACAGACGCTTTTACACACAGACGCTTTTACACACAAAAGCTTTTACACACAGACGGTTTTACACACAGACGCTTCTACACGCAGACGCTTTTACACGCAGATACGTTTTACACACGCACACACGCTTTCACACACAAACGCTTTTACACACAGACGCGTTGACACACAAACGCTTTTACACACAGACGCTTTTACGCGCAGATGCGTTTTACACACGCACACGCGCTTTCACACACAAACGCTTTTACACACAGACGCGTTCACACACAAACGCTTTTACACACAGACGCGTTTACACACAGACGCTTTTACACACAGACGCTTTTACACGCAGATGCTTTTTACACACGCAGACACGCTTTCACACACAAACGCTTTTACACACAGACGCCTTTACACACAGACACTTTTACACAAACGAAAGCGTCCATCGCAATTTTTCCTCAGTTTTTGACGTCCAAGGTCCATTTCGTGCAAAAGGGTTACGATTAACTAAGTAAAATCGCAATTTTTCCTCAGTTTTTGACGTCCAACGTCCATTTCGTGCGAAAGGGTTACGATTGACCAAGTAAAATCGCAATTTTTCCTCAATTTTTGACGTCCAACGTCCATTTCGTGCGTAAGGGTTGCGATTGACCTCAAAGTCGCAATTTTTCCTCAGTTTTTGACGTCCAACGTCCATTTCGTGCGTAAGGGTTGCGATTGACAAAGTAAAGTCGCAATTTTTCCTCAGTTTTTGACGTCCAACGTCCATTTCGTGTGTAAGGGTTGCGATTGACAAAGTAAAGTCGCAATTTTTCCTCAGTTTTTGACGTCCAACGTCCATTTCGTGCGTAAGGGTTGCGATTGACAACTCAAAGTCGCAATTTTTCCTCAGTTTTTGACGGCCAACGTCCATTTCGTGCGTAAGGGTTGCGCGGGACACTTCAAAGTCGCAATTTTTCCTCAGTTTTTGACGTCCAACGTCCATTTCGTGCGAAAGGGTTGCGTTTCGTGGCGCTCCGGCGGCACCGCCCCCGCCTTAAGAGAGAATAGAAAGAAGAGCGAGAGGAGATCTGCAGATGTGAAGGTGTGAAGATGTAGATCTGCAGATGTGAGGGTGTGAAGATGTAGATCTGCAGATGTCAGGGTGTGAAGATGTAGATCTGCAGATGTGAGGGCGTGAAGATCTAGATCTGCAGGTGTGAAGGTGTGAAGATCTAGATCTGCAGGTAGATCTGCAGATGTGAAGGTGTGAAGATGTAGATCTGCAGATGTGAGGGTGTGAAGATGTAGATCTGCAGATGTCAGGGTGTGAAGATGTAAATCTGCAGATGTGAGGGTGTGAAGATCTAGATTTGCAGGTGTGAAGGTGTGAAGATCTAGATCTGCAGGTGTGAAGGTGTGAAGATCTAGATCTGCAGGTGTGAAGGTGTGAAGATGTAGATCTGCAGATGTCAGGGGGTGTGAAGATGTAGATCAGCAGATGTGAGGGTGTGAAGATGTAGATCTGCAGATGTCAGGGTGTGAAGATGTAGATCTGCAGGTGTGAAGGTGTGAAGGTCTAGATCTGCAGGTGTGAAGGTGTGAAGATCTAGATCTGCGGGTGTGAAGGTGTGAAGATCTAGATCTGCAGGTGTGAGGGTGTGAAGATGTAGATCTGCAGATGTGAAGGTGTGAAGATGTAGATCAGCAGATGTGAAGGTGTGAAGATGTAGTATAACGGCTGCTTTTTTACGAAGAACCCTTCGCAGGCGCTCTCGGGAATAATAAAAACTAGGGTCCATCTTTAATTTCGGAAAATTTCAGGTTGGCCAATTTGACTTTTAATTGATCCCCTTTTGGGGACAATTTAAAAATAAAGGGTCCGCTTCGAAGTCCAAATTTTGGCAATATTTTAATTGCGTTATAAAAGGAAATTTAATTGATTTTCAAATCGGGAAAAAAAAAACTTTTTAATTGAGGGTTGAAATCTATTAGTTGGGCACGCTTCGAAATCCAATTTTTGGCAATATATATATATATATATATTAATATATTAATATATATATATTAATATATATATATATTAGTATATATATATATTAGTATATATATATATATTAGTATATATATATATATATTAGTATATATATATATATATTAGTAAATATATATATAATATCATTATTTAATTAATTGCATGACTTGGACTTTGGTTCCCTAATAATAGATACCCCCCTGATAATAAAAACTACCTGAGGTGTTTATTATTTGGGAGGGTGGGTTTAGTATTAGGGGGAAGGGATTATGCCTATGCGAGTCCTCGTCAACAAAAGCTGTCCGATCATGTCTGGGTACTGTCGGGGGTTCCCCTCCCAGGACTGATCAAGAAAAATGCGGAAAGCATGCGGAAAGCCAATGCCCATCATCATCATCATCATCATCATCATCCTCCGCCTCCTCCTCCTCCTCGTCGCAGCCGTCGTCGTCAGCAGCAGCAGCATCATCATCATCGTCATAATCATCATCATCATCAGCAGCAGCAGCAGCGGCATCATCATCATCATCATCAGAGGAGGAGGACTGAAAGCAAAGGTTCAAACATGTTGGAAACACCAACTACCCAGGGTACTGTACCCACGTTGATGCGATTCCTTCCAGGGCAGTGTCATTGTCATGGCACGCGGCGGCCCACCGTTGGCTGTTCAAATTCATCCAGGGTGGTACCATTCCCAGTTATAAGCTGGTTTAGAATCCCCATTAACTATAGATATAACCCCCATGACCTCTAGTTGTTAGAATTAGAAACTAATTTAGCTAACTATGGCCGGGCCGTGCACACCCTGCAACAGAGAAACCGAAGACGAAAAAAAGAAAAACAATGAAAAGCATATTTCAACAGGAAACTCGTGTTCCAAACCCATCCAAACCCTATTTTTTTGAGGTTACTATGTTTTCAAGTAGTTAAACACTCTGGTAATGAAACATGGCAATGAAAAGTGCCCCATTGATAGGTAGTCTTCGTCCTTTTTTTAATTTATAGGTGATTTTCAATTGCCATGCTTGATGACTCCTGTGCCCGGGCCTCACATGCCTTCCTGTTCTGCCACTGCCTGAGGGATCACTGACACAGAAATCCCATGAAAACGGTGATTTCAGATGACTTTGCCCGAAGAAAACGAAACATTGGGACCTAACCACCAAGAGGAACCAAGAGTTGGACATTTCAACAACAAAATGAATTATAGAACCACCATGTGAGCAGGTGAATGACCAACCTAAAAGCTGGGGCCTGCGGCAATTGCGGACCGACTTGTGATTTCCCTGTGAATCTATCCAAATATGTAGGCTGACTTCTCATCGTTGAGCTATGTTGAGTTGCTTCTTCCGCTGAAGGAGGAAACGCACAGATCACAAATGAAACCAATCAGACCTCGAGCCAACCGTTGCATACCAATCTTCGATGTTCGGCTCATGGAATTGTACAGTTGCAGTAACGGACACCATTTTGTTGATCTGAAAAAGGTACACTCCCCTGAAATTCCACGAATTTAACAACAATTGCTGGGGCTCAAGAAGGAAATCAGTTTCTAGACCTCATCAAATCGGGGGGGCGTCCATATTAAACTTCACCTGGGCACCATCACTGGGCATCCCAGACCCCAGAGGACATTAGGGCGAGCATGGCAGTGACCATACCGGCAAACATCATGCCTGCATTGCTTCGGGTTTCGGCACTGGTCAGTTCCAAAAGGTGCTCCTCACACCCCTTTGAGAAACGGGAAAGGGGAGAAGTTTTTAGAGATGAAATATGGAAGGTCAGGTCATTATCATAATCATCTATATAAATGATTTGGATAATAATCATCTATAATAATCATCTATATATATATATATGTTTGTGTATAATCATCATCATTTATAATGATCATTATCATTATAATATTTCCCGATGCCCTTCTCTTCTATCATCAAAGACATATAATTTGGAACGAACCCCTGAAGTTGGGATACAAATCATCCGACTGAAGGCTGGCTGCCATTTCGCAGAAGCCACTGGAAGAAGAGGTCCAGAATTTGCACTGCGCCTTCTGATAATCACGTAGTGCAATTCAAATCACTGCAGTATACCCAGTAAAATATATATAATATATAATACATAATATAATATAATATAAGATAAGATAATATAACATAATATAATATAATATAATATAACATAACATAATACAATATAATATAAATTAATATAATATATATAATAATAATAATAATAATAACAATAATAATAACAATAATAATAACAATAATAATAATAATACAGTAGCCGACCACTGCCTAAAGCAATGAACCATTGACATGTAGCTGCAATTCCAATTATCTTGAACAGCTAAGATCATCAATTGTTCATGGCACATTCATGAGAGAGTCCCCTCAGAGTGACCAGCAAGGGCTTCCTCCCGTTCGCCACCGCAATGCTTGAGTACTCAGACACTTGGCCATGAAAAGAGTTTTCGAACATGTTTCCAACCACTACACCAAACTTTCCAGAAACAGCTCATGTCTCAAAAAAAATGCTATTTGACCTCACAAAATCAGAGGTTGATTCAGGATATAGATTTTGACTCAAAAATTAGGGCGGAAAACGCTCGGGTGGCGGTTTTTTGACGGCCACAGCCAGGCCCCCGCGCCAATGTTGGCCAGGAAACAGGGCATGTTGGCCCTTACAATGCCTGCACCACAACATCCATGGCTGGTTCGATGCCCACTTATCCACTTATATATCCACTTGGACCACTTGGAGGATCATCCCAGGATGTTGATCACTGCTTCGTACCGTGGGGTTAGAAGCCACTGGGACAACGTTTGGGATACCCTCTGGTAAACATACAAAAAGCTATTGAAAATGGCCATTGAAATAGTGAGTTTTTCCATTAAAAATGGTGATTTTCCATAGCTATGTTAGTTTATCAGAGGGTAAGACATTGAATGGAACCTGCTGAATCCTCCACTTACTGGGATGATCCTCCAAGCACCGGTTTTTCCAGCCATGGAAATTGCCCATGGCTGGATGATTTACCTCTTAAACATGGCCATTTTCCTGGGGGCTATGTTAGATTTAACATGATTTAACGGAGGATACTGTAGCGTTTATTTGATTGTTATATAATTATATATATATATATGTGTGGCCAATTATATATATATATAATTATATATATATATGATATGCATGCTTATTTGATGAATAGTTGCCGCTTATGTGATGGATATGTTGATGCACCCTCTCTGGGGAGAAACATGGCTGGAAAATGAGCGCTGCTTGCGCCCCAAGTGGCATCTTCCGAAGACTCCGCAGTGATGATCGAAACCTACAACCTCAAGGGGAGGTTGGGGCCAGGTGGATGATGTACAAATGGGATGTCCAGCTGATCCGAATTTCTAGGTATGACATCATGATATGGTACCCTGAGTGCAGATCAGAGCTCAGGAATTCATAGGAATTCTGGTGAAGAACAGCCCTGAAGTACCCCACTGAGACATTCTCAGTGGTTACGTTCACTTGAAGCGCTCAAAGCGTCCTCGGTTAAAGGCTTCCTATGGGTTCCTACTGGCCCTACTGGTGGTGCCCTGGAGAGCCAAACGCGTCAGTGGGAGCTGTGGCCAAAAGGGAGGCCAAAGACTGCAGCCGTGTGCCCATGCACAAATAACGATCACGGGCTGCAGTGTGAAAATATCTTGAAGCCAAATGCATCCAAATGCATGCCGCATCGAACTGTACAGGAAAAGGACCCTGAAAACTATCATGATCTAATTCTCATGGAATCAAACAACAATGATCTTCTAGACCCCAGTCTTGGGATTCCATGGATTTTGAGGAGTACCCCTCCACCAATCGCACCACTCGTACCACATCCTCATGGCTCCCCACACAGCGCTGACAAACGTTGCAGTGATGAACTTTCCCCGCCTCAGCCATGGGGGAGGGTTGTGCCACACCTCCCAGAATATCTGTTGGAAACCGGAACCAAGTCGAACATGATTGGACAATGATGTAATGAGGTTAATTTTTTTTCCTTTGATGGAATGAGGTTCACTTTGAAATTTTTGCTTCTTGGTTCATTGTTCGGGGATACCCGGCACCTCTTCCGTTGGTTGTATTCCAGTGGTCTTGGAATAAATCACACTCTTCTCTACCTAGAGCAAGTCCCATGTCTATGCTGTGCGACTTGCATCATCTGTTGCCTAAAGATTCCAACCCATTCATGCTCGTAGCCCCAATCAATCTTGCTGATTAACCGCTCATATTTTTGCCGGTGCTTTTTCTATGTTTTTCTCCACTTTTTGCAGATAGGCCACTTAGGCTCCTGCGTGTAGCAGGTCCAGTACCACCTGCTTCCCTACAGCATTTCCTTCCCCCTGAGGAGTGATACATTTCGAGGTCTCCAAAGACAGCATCGCACGCAGTAGGAGTCGTGCATTGGATACTCCTGGCACCCGGCTCTCGGGTCACTGCCTGATGGCCTTGAAGCTTCCAGGGCTCGATATGCTCGATGCCCCCAGGATTTCGGAAAAATGGGTATGGGCCGTAGAATCAATTAGAATCTTGTACGCTGATTTTGACATCCCAAAGACAAACAAGTTTGCACAGTGCACGGTGAACTCTCTCACTCTTCATTTCTTTCCAGTGTTCCCTTTTGACTCGAGGGCATTGACGTGCGGCACCCCCTAAGAGCCACAGGCCAATCAGCGTACCCACTAATTCATGCGGATACGACCAACCTCCCCAATACCCCATCAGTAAGGAGGGCTCATTTCGATGCTTATGAACCAACAACAACAACAACAACAACAACCACAACAACCACAACAACCACAACAACCACAACAACCACAACAACCACAACAACCACAACCACCACCACCACCACCACCAGCAAAAAGGCTTAGGAAGCCTGATATTATTGAGGGGGCCACTTGGCGGATCATCCTCGATAATCCTCCAGGCTCCCCCAATCGTCCTGTCCGGCGGGGACGTTCTTCAAGCCCTCGAGCGTTCGCTGCCTCGGGGGAACTGGATCTCAACGTGAAAGATCGTGAAAGTTCGGATGGAAAAACAGTCTTCAGTTCCTATATGCATATTAGTTATTCCATACAAACATAAGATATTCCCAGTTCCAATCGCAATCTTCAATCCACCAGCACTTTAGTAGGTTGCTCTTCTATCTTTGAACGGGTTGCTATCAGTGGCGTTAAGAACTCGTTGAAAACCATTGCTGCATACCCAATGTACCAAATTCATCCAAATTCTACTACTGTACGGGATATTACATTGACATAGGAGGTATTAATTTACAGTGAACTAACATAGCTATAGACAAAAATTTCCTATTAGTTCGATGATTTACGGAGCTAAAAGAAACGGTGATTTTCCATTTCGCAAACTGCAACAAATTACCCGAGGGTATCCCAATCTTATTGGTTGGTATATCCCTTAACGCCCTTAATCGTTTCCCCCCAATAGTAAATACCATGCTTTAGTAGGGAATTTACATGACTGGGACCATTTACTATAGGGGGTGTCTAATATGAAGGGGGGCTGAGATTGTGCGGGGTGTCTAATATGAAGGGGGGATGAGATTATGCCATCATCAACAATGTCCTTTTGGAAAAATAGAGGGACTCGTTTGGTATGCCATACCATTTATACCCATTGATCATCATTTACCTCTTGGTTATCCAGGGCTATCAGCCCGTCTATTAGTCAAAAAATGAGCCTAACTTCGTGAAAAGGTCGAATCTAGATCACCATCTTTAGCTAAACATCATCTATAAAATCTATAAATAGGGCATTTTCCATGGCGTTTTCCATCATGTTTTCCATCCACCAAGGCACTGCTTGAGACATTGCTCCACCTCTGCTGGGATGGGAAAGCACCTCGGTATCATAGCTGGAAAAACCCACCGGAAAATCCACCAACCAAACAACGGGAAATCATAGGAACCATGTGGGAAAATGATAGGAAATCCTATCTAAATATGAATATATGGAGGTTTTAATGGGAAAATCAAACTAAACAGGGGAATTGAGGTCCATTGCTATGTTTGATTGAGGCTATCTCTAAAAGTTTTTTGGCATTCCCATCCCATGTTTGTTCGTTAAATCCAAATATATATTATATAAGATTTTTTCCGCCTAATTGGGGTTGGGTTTCGGATCTGGGGTTGGGTTCTGGGGTGTGTTTTTTCTTGCCTCGCGGCTGCATTTTGAAATCTTTCAAATCAGAGCTATAAGCTCATTTTCCATGCTACAGCAGCAGTACC